GGACTAATAGCTCGGTTCTAGTAGAGGAGTTAATTAGTATAGAAGCCAATTAGGTCGTAATCTTAGCGAAGCTACTAAGTTGTTAGGATACGCTCTATAGAGCGGAGACGGATACGATTCTAGTATATAAAGATAATTGATTGTTAGTTAGTTACTAGCCTAGGAAACTATATATATTAATCGTTATAATCTACGGCAGGATCGACAGTATCCGAAGTAGGATCGGCCGCGCTAGTGTCTAAACCGTAACATCGATTTAATTCTTCGAAACCTATTAAATAACTTTCTAGTCTAAAATTTCTATTAATAAAATGTAAAGTAATTCCCAGATAATCGTAGGTATTATTGCGGGAATTCCATTCGTCGAATGTTAAAGAGAATCTACTAGTATTCTTTTTAATAATTCGAATATATTTATCTAGTTCGGTAGTATAAAATAGATTAAAAGCTCTAGTAATAGTTTGTCTAGAAGGTATATCGCCTACTTCGTTATTTAAATAGGTGATTAAGTTACTAAAACTTTTACTAGATACTATACTAAAAGCTAGATTATTATTAATAAGAAAGAGTAATAGTAGTCTAATAAATTCTTCGCTATTAAATAAGCCGAAGCTTTTACGTTTTCTAAGATTAGGTATAGGTTCTATAGTTAAATGTGAGTCTAAAGTAGATTGATTGCTACCTATAATACTAGATTGACTATTATTATTATCGTTATCGTTACTATCGCTAGTATAATCGCTATCTTTAGACGTTACTATATGTTTATGTAGTTTACTATAATGCGCGTATAAATTAGTTGTATTAAACGGCCAAGTCTTATTCTTATAGACTTTATTACAGGTTGTACAAGTAATAGTAAAGGTCCGTACTTTATTTTCCTTATAAGGGTCTAAAGAATAATTAAATAGTCGTTCTTTAATAGGAGGAGGCGCGTCTTTTAGCGGCGGTAATATAGCATCTGGTTTATTAAAATTATATTTAGGGGCTATTATTATATATATAAGCTCTATACAGAACTTAGCTATTTATAGTATATAGTATAGATAACTAGCAAATAGAAATATAATAAATAGTTTAATAAATTATTTCTTTTAAATAGTTTAGTATGTATCAAAGTATATAGACTTGATAGTATATAGTATAAGGTCTCTTAGTATAGTATAGAGTATAGAGTAGATAGTAGTCTAGTAGTATAGTATACTAGAAAACTATAGAAAAGAAAATCAACTCTAGAGGGATAGAGGCCGAGTATATATATTACGCTCGCCTCTCGAATTAAGGTTTAGGTACAATATTATAACTATAAAATGTTATATTATTATAATGTTATACTAAAATAACTATATAACGATATAATATTATACAGGTATAATAATATAATAAGATAATAGAATAAGATAATAATATTATTTTATAATAAAGGTATTATATTATTATATTATCCTAAGATAATAGTATAAGGTTATTCTATTATTTTTAGATAATATAATAATAATAATATATTACATAGTTATAATATTATATATAAACCTTAATTCGAGAGGCGAGCGTAATATATATACTCGGCCTCTATCCCTCTAGAGCTGATTCTCTTTTCTGTAGCTTTCTAGTATACTATACTACTAACGACTTCTCTATACTCTATTCTAGAGGCTAGAGTCTATACTATTCTATAGTATACTACTACGACTATACCAAGTAAGTATCTAATACAAAAAACTAATATTTATTTACTAATATAATTATTAGAATGTCTACTACTCCCTCTATCTTACTCTTCCCTAAAGGCGACCCTACGACTATTGATATAGTGCCTAAGAAGATACTTATAAATCCTAAAACAGGCCGTAAGTCTATATATTATCTCTATTTAACTAAAACTATAATATTAATATTTAATAGAACCCTTTAAATCTATAGGCTAAGCAGCGAAAGGCGGGACTACAAATCAAGATCCTTATATTAAAACTAAGGTCTTTAAGCCTTTTAGTCGAAGGAACAAGAAGGAAACTTCTATATTTATACCTAGGAAAAAGGCTAAGACGAAATTCTATCCTAAGAAAGAAGGATTTAAACCGGATAGTTTTCGGTAAGAATATTCTAACTATAGACCTATACTAGTAACAAGAACTAATTAATAATAGACTGCCGGATCTAAGAGGCTATACGGACTATAATACAAAGAATATATATAGAATGTCTAGATAGATAAAAAGAATAGTAGTATATATATATATTTATAGTTTTATTGTCTTTTCTTTTACTATATATAGAAATATTAGCTTATTTACCTATAAAGTATCTATTCTAAGGACTAATTAGTTACTATATACTAAAATAATAGTATACCAAGGTATTAAAATAATAGAATAATAGAATAATAAAATAATAAAATAATAAAATAATAGAATAATAGAATAAAGATATCTTATTATCCTATTATGTGCTTATGCTGTTATACTATTATCTTAGTATATAGTAATAATAAAATAAGATTATATTATTATTTTTAAAATAAAAAAAAGCTTAAAGCCGGATTCTTAACTTCTTAGAAGAATTAACTTAGATTTAAATTTAATATTAGATTAGTAGTTTGGATTAATGTTTAGTCTTTTTTTCTTATATAGTAGGATACTCTAACTTCTTTAGAGTATAAAAAATAATACTAGAATGTAGTATAGTAGTAAAGATATAGTAGAGAACTATAGAAAAAAAACCAACTCTAGAGGGGTAGAGGCCGAGTATATATATTACGCTCGCCTCTCGAATTAAGGTTTAGATATAATATTATAACTATGTAATATATTATTATTATTACATTATCTAAAAACCATAGAATGACCTTATACTATTATCTTAGGATAATATAATAATATAATACCTTTATTATAAAATAATATTATTATCTTATTCTATTAACTTATTATATTATTATAACTGTATAATATTATATCGTTATATAGTTATTTTAGTATAACATTATAATAATATAACATTTTATAGTTATAATATTGTACCTAAACCTTAATTCGAGAGGCGAGCGTAATATATATACTCGGTCTCTACCCCTCTAGAGTTGAATTTTTGTTCTATACTATCTTAGTATATTACACTACTGCCAACTACTCGATACTCTACTATATACTCTAGAGTCTATACTATTCTATAGTATACTATACTACGACTATACCAAGTAAGTATCTAATATAGAAGAAAAAAACTAATATATACTAATTTAAGTATTATTAGAATGTATACCTTCGACGATACCTTAACCTCTATTACTTTTATTAATAGGTTTATTAATAAGAGCACTATAGCGGAGTCTAGTAAAATAGACAAAACTATTAGGGCTATTATTAATAGCTTAGTAAGTAATAGAGGGAAAGGTAATAAAGAAATTATCGAATATTTAAACCGACTACGAATTGCCTACTTTATTAGACATATTAGGCAACAAGATATTAAGGAATATAAGAAAATTAAAGGTAATGTACTATAAAATACTATACTAGGTCTATATACTAATATTTATAGCCTTTGTCTTCTCTAGCGATAATCTAGACGAGTTCAATTCTCGCCTAGATATTCGGCTCTATATCGACTCTTTAAACGATAGTAATATCGTTTCTAGAATCGAATATCTTAGTCTATATATTCTAAGATACTCGCTATACTTTAGAGATTATAGTAAGTATAATAGATATAATAGATTTGTATTAAACTGTATATATATACTAAGATTAAATATAGCTTTTATTCGACTATTTCTCGATAGTAGTATAGTATCTCCCGAGAACTATACTACTATTAAGAATAATATCGAGTCGGCTAGAGATTACTATCTCTATACCGATATTTACGACGATATCTATCTAATTAAACGGCTTAACTTTTTTAATTTCGAATATAAAGAGGAGGAGAAAGTTCTTATAGATACCTATCTTAAGAAGGCATCTAAGGAGAATATTAAGGAATTAACTTATAGTACTATAGAAGAGATTCTTAGTACTAGAGACGGTATTAGGAAAGAGAATATTAAGGAGAATAATAATAAGGAAGAAATTGCCGATAGAGAGATAGACTTAGACTATAATAGTCTTAGCTATCTAGATCTAGCTTAGAGCTATTAGCGCTTAGTAGTAGTATATATATAGTAGTAGGAGTTAGGAATCTTTAAATTATTTCTTTATAAAAGATTTATTTTTTTGTTTTAATAATTATATTAATATTACTTGTAGTCTATTATATATAATTAGGGCTTAGATATAAATTACTATATATTTAGGTATAGTCTAGACTATCTATAAGATACTATAATACATTCTATAAGTTATAATTAGACTAAATACTAGTAATAATGTCTAGATACCTAGTATTCTATAGACTATTAGTATATATATATATATATATATAGTATATATACTATACTACTATATATCAATTTAATAGTATTCTATATATATCTAATATATATAGTAGTCTAATTTATTAATAAAATACTAATATAGTATATATAGTATAAATACAACTAGTATAAATACTATATTTCTAGATATACTAGAATATTAATATAGCCGCGAGGTATCTATAGCTATACTATACTATACTGTATCTTATAGTATATATCTAATACTTATATATACTAATACATCTTAATATAGCTTAGAAAACTAGGAAAATAGGAAAATAGTAATTACTATTTTACTATTACTATTACTATTACTATTACTACAGAAGTCCTAGTAAAAAGTAATAGTAATAGTATTTATAATACTATATAGTAATTTACTATTTACTAATAGTAATTTACTATTTACTATTTACTAAGGTTTAGATATCTCTAATCAATGCCTGCTACTATATGCTTGTACCTCGGATCATTATTATAGGAGGTAGGAGGTAGATTATACAATTGTTGTTCGGATTGATACCTAGCCGATCCCGTTATCTTGTTTCGGGCTCTACGAAGCTCTCGTCTCTTTAACCCTGCGAGAGACGGATTAAATATTCAAGAACAAGCGACAGGAAGAACCAAGACCCGACGTCGGCAAAATCGGAATTGGCCACATAGCAAGCAGCCTATACTGTACCCTATCCTATTCCCAAAGTCTAAATCGTTCTCGCAAGCAAGCGTGTCGAGTTGCCTATTTAGGCCTTTGCTACAACACACAACCCTCAAATCATCATGCTATCTAATAATCCAACCTACCTACACGTCCGCAGATCGATCAAACCCCTGCGCCAAACACATCAGATAATACCTCCCTCTCCTCCCCATCAGCTCTTCATGATGCCCAACCTCCACAATCCTGCCGGCCTCAAACACAAAAATCCGATCCGCATCCCGAATCGTGCTCAACCGATGCGCGACCGCGATGGTCGTCCGACGACCTTGTTTCGCCGCGTGCATGAGAGCAGATTGGACGGATTTCTCGCTTTCGGAATCGAGCGCCGAAGTGGCTTCGTCCAAGAGGAGAATTTGGGGGTTGCGGATGATGGCGCGTGCGATGGCGAGGCGTTGTTTTTGGCCTCCCGAGAGTTGGGAGCCGCGGGGGCCGATGGGGGTGTTGAGGCCTTCGGGGAGGGAGGTGATGAAGGTCCAGATGTTGGCTTGGGTGCAGGCGTGTTGGATTTGGGGTTCGGTGGCTTCGAGGCTGGAATCGGAGAGGCCGAGGGCGATGTTGTCGCGGATTGTGCCTTGGTAGAGGACGGGTTCTTGTTGGACGAGACCGATTTTCAGACGGTGGGTTCTTGCTGGGCTGGTCAGGATCGAAGTGCCGTCGAGCTTGATGTCGCCAGAGGTCGGATCGTAGAATCTTGAGAGTAGAGAGATCATTGTGGTCTTGCCGCAGCCAGATGGTCCGACGAAAGCGGCGAAGGAACCGGCAGGTATCGAGACATTGACGCCTTTCAGGATTCTCGCACCTGGTCGGGAAGGATACGCGAATGTCAAGGATTCGTAGTCGACTGCAGCCGGACCACTTCGCTTCTCATCGTCTTGGGGGCGCGGTGGTGGATTGCCCTCAAGTACCGGAGCTGCACTCTGCTGTAGAGTGAACATCAGGTTCGCCGCGGACTTTGCTTTCGAGATGCTTGTAGAGTATTGGAAGAACATCGCCGCCGCTTCGCCTCCGAAGAGTACGGAAATGAAGACCTGGAAGAACTGTGTTGAGGTGTACTCGCCTCTCGAGACGAGCTTTCCACCATACCAGAAACCAAGCGCCATGGCCAAGAAATTGATGCTTTGCGACAGCGCATAGAATCCCATGGTCCAAACGAAGGAGCGCGCAGATTTCGCGGCGACATCAGACAGTCTGTCCGCATATCGATCCAGCACTGAGCGTTCCAATGTCAGTGAGTTGACCGTCCGGATAGCAGAGATGGCTTCAGCTGCAACTGCAGCGCTGCTGGCGAATCGCTCAGACGTTAATGCTTCGAGGTGGCCATCGAGTCGAATTCTTGCGTAGCCACTGAGGACCAGAGGTGGCAATGCACCAAAGACGCAGACCAGCCCGAGTTTCCACCCGACAGCGATGCCATAGATAGAGCTTGACACCAGAATGAAGATATTCATCAGAATCAAAAACACATTCAAGCCCAGCAATTCTTGCAGGTTGGTCGCCGCCGTCGACAATCTGGCCGTCAGCCCACCACTCTCGTTCTCCGGCTGATTGAAGAAATCCATGTTCTGGTACAGCGTGCATCGGAACAAGCGGAGTCGATACACGCGGGTCAAGGTCTGCGAAAGGATGACCGAAACCCAGCCCATTACGAACCAGATGAGGATCGAAGCAAGTGCCACTACAAAGAACATCAGAGCCCAGAAGTCACCGTCGGATACAGCTTTTGGACCGCGCCTTTGGAAGACTTCAAAAGTCTTGGAGAAGATGTAGGCCTGGATTGGATAGATTGCCGCTGCGCCGGCGGCCGTGAGGGATGCGATGAAGAAGCTGGGCCAAAGATTCTTCTGCTCGGCCATCAATATCCACACGCTCTTCAACAATCCGTAATTGACCTTGTTCTGGTTTGCGTCCGTGTGTCCCGTTTCGAGGTCGAAGGGAGTCACGGTACTCTTGGTGCGTTGGACGGAGAGGATCTGCTCGAGCCTCTCGTCTTCGTCTTCCTTTGCATCGGCAGTGGAGTCGCTGTCATCGCTGCTTCGGCTCTCGAGATCCTGGGCTTTGACAAGCCGTGAATAGGCACCTCCCAGCGCCAAAAGTTGACGATGTGTTCCCTGCTCAATAACAGTGCCCTTACGCATCACCGCGATCGAGTCGGCGTTCTGGATGGTAGAAAGCTTGTGCGCAATAACGATCGTGGTGCGATTTTTCGACACGTTGTCAAGAGCATCCTGAACCACTGCTTCGGCTTTGGGGTCCAACGCACTCGTTGCCTCGTCCATGATGAGTACAGATGGGTCGGAAATAATGCTTCGGGCGATGGCAATACGCTGTTTCTGGCCTCCAGACAGCATTCGGGCTCGCTCGCCAACAGCAGTATCGTAGCCGTTGGGCAGCTTGCTGATGAAGTCGTGCGCAAATGCATCGATGCACGCTTGCTCCACGAGCTTTTTCTTCACTTCCCGTGAGCTATTCTCATACTCCGTGCCAACCAGACCATACTCCACATTCTCGAAGACGGTGCCGCTGAACAGTACCGGCTCTTGCTGGATGAGGCGTACGTTCGTGCGAAGCCAACGAAGATTGAGGTCCTGCAGATGGACACCGTCTAGAATGACTTCGCCTGCCGTCTGCTCGTACCAGCGCTCGAGGAGACCAACGATGGTGCTCTTGCCACTTCCACTCTCTCCAACCAGTGCAGTTGTCTTTCCGGCCGGCACGTTCAGGCTCAGGCCTCGAAGCACAGGATTCCCCGGCCTAGACGGGTAGGCAAACTCGACATCCCGTAGCAGAATCTCTCCAGTACAGTGCTCAGGCTTCTTGCCTTGCTCAGAAAGAGCATCAATCTTGGATTGCCGGTCGATGGTTTTGAAGAGGTCCCCGCAAGCTGAAATGGCTTTGGACAGCGTCAAAAGCTGTGGTGCAATCTGCGTCAATGTCGAGGCAGCAAGAACGACGGCGAAGATGACCGTGACGACTTTTCCGGCCTGCTCGATCTCTCCGGACTGGTACATTCGGATGCCCTTCCAGAACGCCAGCGCATAGCCGCTGTAGACACAAAAGAATTCGGTGGAATACATGACTCCAATGTTTGGTTTCTTCTTCATTCCCACTCTTTCGGCATCCTCGAGTAGAGCATCGTATCGAGTAGACATGGTCGGATGTAACCAGAAGGAATGCACATTCGTGATACTGGAGAAGACTTCCTCGGCCATCAGTCCAGCTTGGGAATAGATGTCGAGTAGTCGATTCTCATTCTTCGCATCGATTGCAACTGTCACCCCAGTGATGATCAAGATGGTTGGTACGATGGCCAATGTGATCAGAGTCAGTTTCCATTGCGAGATGAATGCCACAACGAACACCGCAACGAATGTCGACACGGACTGGATGGTCAGGGTAAGCTTCTCGCTTATGCCCTGGTTGATCAGATTCGAGGTAGTGGTGACCTTGACGGCTGGACTTCCTGCCTCTGGGGAATCGAAGTATGCGACCTCCTGTCGAAGGAGGGATTTCATGAAATCGACTCGAAGGGCTTTGGTTGTTCGAATTGCCGAGATGGAGATGCAGAGTGTATGGACGTAGGACAATACCAGCTTGGCGATGAAGAGGTATACCAAGTACAAGCTCAGCCGTGAGACTTCGTTCATGTACTTGTCGCTAGAGATCTCATTGCGGACGAAGCGGTTGAATGTCGTGACGAAGTTTCCGAACAATAGTTCCATGAGAGGAAGCGGGACTCCAGCTCCGATGGCCGCCGTGAATGCGACGACATTGAGGATCCAGCTTTTCTGGTCGGCATAGCTGAATACCCGCTGCCATTTCGTTAGTCCTTGAGCTTTCCTCGATATCATGGGCAGAGCATACCAAGTAGTTGTAACCAACCGATTTAATGCTTGACTCAGCAGTTGGCCGTTGTTTGTCCTGGGACGGCATGGTGCTGGCTGGGCTGTCGGACTTGATTAGTGCTTGGATACATGGCGGAGTCTACAGTATGTTCAATGTGCTATATACATTCAGATGCATTGATGTCTGCTTTGAAGATGGATGTGCCAACGGAGCGCGCGCGTTCCGCATATTCTAGAATAGGGCAGGGAGTCGTCTTGCTTAGAAGTTAGAACCTAGTCAAAAGCCAATTGGCAAGGTGCGTGGAACGCGCGGAGCCCGAGTGTCATCAAGACATCAATCCTTTCCTCCCAACATCAGCATCGTCACATCGGCCAGGATCGTGCCATTACATCAATGATCAATGAAATATCTTGACGTGGGAATCAACCGATACTGTATCAATATCACCGGGGCGGAGAAACGCGAGCCGGCACTGCAACCAAGAGCTTCCTCGTTCTCATCTTGGGCGCCACCGTCCCATATCGATTGGCCAAATAAATATGGCGTCCGAGGATTCATCGAACGAGGCTGGCCGGCTGAAGTCGGGAGTCTTGGCACCCCGAGCGGTGAGTTGATTCATTCATTCACTCGACGGGTAACGAACGATAAACGAAGTGGCTAACATGGCTGGCAGTGTGACGGTACATCTCGATCAGCGAGCGTGGCGTAGCGAGCAGCAAGCGAAGACGCTGACATGGACGTCAGGTTGTAGGACTCGCAAAGTCAGATGCGACAGAAAGCCGCCATGCTCGCACTGTCGGACCGCCGGTCTTGGTGAGCGGTTGAGCAGGCTTAGGAAATGGAGCGAGGTTCTGATCGCCTGGCTAGTATGCCGTACAACTCAACGGCCGAAAGAGGAACGTTCGCGCATCACCATTTCTAAGCAGTAGTAGGTACTACGCTGCCGGGTCGGAACGGAAGTCTTCTCTGACAGACGCTACAGCGAGCACAAGATCGATACCATCGAGAGTCGACTCGCCAGCATCGAAACGCTGCTTCGGGACGCCAATCGAAATCCCTCTTCGGCATCTGCTTTTGGTACACCGACCTCGAAATCATTCCCCACCCCTCCGGATCCACTGCATAAACCAAACGATGCCCATGACATCGACGACGACGAACCTGTCGTTGAGGACTTGGCCTTCACCGGTCATGGGCGAGATACTCATGTTGCCAAGGACGTGTTGGAGCAAACCATCACAAGTAGCAACGAGTTGATGTCTGATCCCCAACTCAACGCTTCGTTGAGTTCTTTGCGAAGTGTGCTCAGCAAGATCAGACCCGAAGGTACGGCCGACAGTGGAATCTCGCCTGGAGCAGCACTTCGAAATGTTACTTCCGAACTTCCTCCCTGGTCGGAGATCAATGATTTGGTTGCTCGAGCAAAGGAGTATCCGCCAATTGCATGGGAACTCTACTTACAAGCTCTCCCAATGGATGTCTTTATCAAGTTTTGCGAGAACATGCACCAGACCGACGGCGTTGGAGGTACCATGGCCGAAAGGATCATGGTATATGCTGGACTCTATGCCCTGGCTACTGAGTTCGCTGCCATGGACTCTGGTGCGAAAGCTGACCGGTATCACACGCTGTCGAGAATCTTTCAGCAAATGGCCATGTCGACCATATCCAACTTCCCACTGCTGGCTGCTGCAAAGCGTGACAACATCAATGCTCTTCTCATAGGCTCCTTCATCGCCATCGACATGTCCAAACCATTACTTGCATGGAGCCTCAATGGAGCTGCTCTGAGGATGTGTCAAACGCTCGGGTATCAACGCAAAATGACCAAGTTGCCACAAGAGGAGCAGGACCGAAATGGCATGCTGTTTTGGAATTGCTATATGATGGATCGGAACACTTCCTTGCGACTAGGTCGGGCACCACAGATGCCTGACTATGACATTACCGTGCCTCTCCCTCGCCTTTGCCCTACCTTCTCCGACGCTCTCGTCCACATGCAAAATTTCTGGATCGAAGGCGCCAGAATCCAAGGCGTAATCAGCGAGAAACTCTACAGTCCCAGAGCCTTGACAGAATCCCAAGAACACCGAGCCTCCATCGCCAAAACCCTCGTCACTGATCTCGAAAGAGCCTTCGACTTGAGAATCAAGGCTCAGGACATTATCCTGCCACCCAAAGACAAAGAACAGTGTCCATCGCTGGAGCCGATTTTGGCCGGGGATACCATCGCGCATTGGAGTATGATGACACTAGTCCTACAAGCAGTGGCCACTTCACCCGAAGCCAAAGCAGAGGCACTGACCGCGGCTCGAACTACTCTACGCCTCAGCAGAGACTTGACACAAACCCACAAAGGCAACGTCTATGCCTGGGCCATGTATTGCAACTGGGTCGCCCTACACTCCCCCGTCATGACAGCCTTCACAACACTCTTCTCGAACGCGATCGCAAACTTCCAGGGCCCGGCAGAAGACATGGAATTAATGGAAGCGTTTGTCCGTTCCCTCGAACCAGTGCGCGCAAGATTCGAAGGCATCGACAAATTCTACCAACTCTGTTCCGTCTTCTACGAAGTCGCCGCCAGTTGCGTCCGGCTGAAACAACAGCAAGCAGAAGCGCAGAAAACCTTGCCCAGCATCCCCGAGGCCGTCACCTCGACGGGCGAAACCATGACGCTGAATGATTTCGATCAATATCTTTCCGCCATCGGTCTCCCGTTACAGGATTCCGCGATGAATCCGCTCCCCGACAGCAGTTCTTTTGGCGGCAACAATGCGAATTTCTTGCAGGATTGGTATAATGCCAATACTTCGCTTTACGGATTGCTGGATCAGGATTTTACGAGTTTCAATGATATGGCGTTCGATGCCCAGTAGTGAAGCGATCCAGGCATACTTCACGCATCAACCCCGTTGCAAGTCCCGGCGTTCACAAATCTAAATCCCATCTCTTCCGCGTGAACAGTTCAGTAACACACCAACGTCCGTCCACATTGCGAGATCGTAGAACGGCTGGTCTCCCGTCAAGTGGCACGCAGCGTAGAGACGGATCAGGCCTGTGTACACGTTCTTGACGCCACAGACACGAGCTAGAAGACCATCGGGCTGAGGCGCATTCTTCCCGGAGAACAGCTTAAGAGACACGGATGCAAGGAAGTTGATTACTGAGTACTCACTAGTCAGCGCCTGTAATCATAATCATAGTCAATAATAAGTGAATAATTAGTAATCATAATCACGTAATCATATAATCAGTACCTATAGTAATGCTTAGGGTTAGGAAGGAGGTAGATTTACAAGCCGTCGTCGTTGCTAGCGCTAGAGACCGAGTATAAGACTAGTAGTAGTAGTAGTCCTTCGTCCGCCTCTTCTAAGGCGGCCAATTCTAATAGCACCTTAGCAACACCTGTTCTTATCTAATTCTTCGAGCACTTATTTATACGAATATAGTTACTACTTATCCGTACGCGGTCCTATCTAGTAGTGCGGCGGCTCTTACTAAAAGTCCTCTCGGACTCGGCGGATATAGCGAAGGCGGACAATATATCGATAGCTAATTGCTATAACGCTAGATCGTACGTCTTCCGCTATTAGATCTACTAGCTAATAGGACTTATTAATACTAGCTTCTCGAAGCTAACTAGTAGCAGTACTATTAGACTAGCGTAGATAAAGGCTTCGAAGGGGTCCTCGTTAGTAGCAATAAGGTTAGTTTAAGACTCAATTTGCTAGCGTTTAAGGTCCGAGAGCCCTTCGAAGGAGCGTTGCGGTATAGACTATAGTTAATAGCTTCCGAAGCGTGCCTTATAATCGCTCTAAAGCGCTCTCGTACGCGAGAGTAAGGTGTCTACGTCTACTACAGAGCGGCCTTAAAGCTAAGCAAGTCGTCGAGTTAGATATAGTAACACTATAGTTACGTAGAGAGGGCTCTTCTAGTTAAGGCTATAGTACTTCTTAAACAGCACGCTTGCAACGTTAATAGATCGAATAAGGACTGTCCGGTGCTTATTCTTAATAGCTAAGCGACTAAAGTAGCTTCTTAGATACTCTATAGACTCTTGATATATATCGAATGTAACAGTATTGCCTTCGAGCCGAAGGGTAACCTCTTTAAATAGATTAAGGAACCTCCGAGTATACGTAAGGACCTTCTAGTTATCCTTAGATAAGCTAAACTCGCGGAGGTATAGTATTCTATCGAAGAAGGTGTTTAGAATAGGCCTTATTTGAATAGCCTCTTCTATTATTAGAAGCTAACCATTCTATCGTGTCTCGCTAGGGATCTTTAGAGTTATATATAGCAATTGAGGCTAGGCCTTATAGACTTCTTAGAAGATATTATAGTTGTCGTTCTTACGAAGAAGTTTAGCGAGAGCGAATAGCCGCTATAGTAGACCTTGCTTAACAAACGAGTCTACGTCTATATCGAGCTACCTAGATATAGACACGCTGTTACTGTCGTTAGTTAGCACTGTTTAACTGAACTCTTCGCTTTCTACGGCCTCCGCGTCCTTCGCAAACATAAAGGCTATTATTACACGGTTAAGAATATAGCTAATATAGCGCAACCGACGGTCCTTCTAGTACGAGTGCCCTTATAAGTCTATAAAGCGCTTAATAGCTAGACTAAGCGTATTGTTATTGGAACTACTGTTAGTCGTTATCTAGCCGAGTTTGCTAGATATTTAGAAGGTTAAGAAGCATAGAAGAACAGCCTTTGCAAGGAAGTTACTAGTATAAGAACTAGGTAGCAAATGTAGCAAATCTAGCAGTATTTAGACTAGCTTACCGCGTAGATTAATATACTAGCAATTGATAGCTTAGAAGAACTTATAGCCGTGCTGTAACTTCTAGGTATTAGTATAGAAGTAAAGACAGCTAAGCGCTTCTAATAGTGCGAGTTTAACTCGTTCTCGCTAGCCCTCGAAGTTATATAGAATACGAGAATATAGTAAGGTATAGCTCTTAAGAAGGACGTCTTCTACGTATAGATTAACCGCTAGGATAAGCTCTTTAAATTCCTTTGTAACTAGTGCGTTATAAGCGATACTGCTAGCTGTTACAAAGCGAGCTAGAGCGTACCTAAACTTGTCCTTATCGGCGGCTCCTTTAAGGATATTAATAGTCTTGTCCGAGTTAATAGTACCTTGCTTCTTCTATAGCGCCGAGAGGTTAATCTTAGTCTAATAGGTGCTATTAAGTTTCCGCTTCTTACTGCCGATAAAGATAAAGTGCTTCTTTGCTAGGTACTAAGGCGCGTTGCTAGAATTAGAAGTATACCGATTAGGGTCGTTATCGTTATAGTAGATATAGTAGAAGGCCTTATACCTGCCTCTATCTACCTTTAAAGGCTCCCTATCTTTTAGTGCTCTCGTATGCGCCTATAACACTAGATCTAGCTGATTTCTGCCTCTTCTACGCCTCTTTAACTCGGTAACCGTAGGCGTAGGTATCGGCTGTGCTATATTCGCTATATTCGAGGACTGCGAGGTAGATAGTCGTATAGTATTCGAAGATTAGAGGAACAAGGTATCCTCGTCTAGTATTAGAGACAGTAGTTCATTAGCTTCGGAGGTTAGAAGGTCGCTTAGATCGCTCGAATCTTTATAGAATAGTATCCGATCTAGTAGGTTGTTTTCCCGACTCGATGCTTAGGTATTTATATAATTTTCTAGCACTTTTTGAGTTAGTTTATACTTCTTGCGGAGGTTGTCTCGCATATCGAAGGTATTGTTATCTTAAATTAAACAATGAATATCAAACTTTGAGTTTGCTAGCGTACGGCTAAGCCGTACGGACCTTGCCGTCCGTATTAAGCGAAGCTTATCTATTAGGCTTAGCTAGACCCTAAGGGGCTAATATAATGTAATCTTAGCGGTTTAGGCAGGCGCGATAGCAAGCTCGAATACTAATATCTACGACTAATTCTATACTTAACTAATAACAACAACCTTAGTAACCTTAGTAACCTCGCTATCGATTAGATAGTATAGCACCCTATCGATCCGATCCTTGAAATACATCTACCGTATCGGGTACTACGATTTCAGCCCGAGAAAGCACTCTTCTAAGCAGACATACGGTTTTTTACTAAACTTAAAGTAGCGACGAGAACCTAGCGCTATTCGCCTTCCTTTCCGCTCTATGCCCTTCTAGACTCGATTAACACTATTAGATATACGCTCCTAATAGACTCCGGCCCTTTTAACGATCTCCTTAGTACAGCGAAGGCTCTTTGTCGTCTTCCTTGTAACCCTTCGATATAGTAACTATAAGCCCTCCTTTTCCGCCTCTCCGATATACTACTCGAAGTCCTTCTATACTACTTCTTCGATAAAGGACAGTATACCGGCTTGTTAGAAGTGTAGCTAAGTAGGAGTAATATAACGGTCGGTTTAGTTAAGAGTTAGATAAGTCGCTAGTACGTCCTTTAGCAATAACTGTAGGTAATAGCTTTATAGTACTAAGAAGGCTTTAGTTAACTAGTCGGAAGTCTATACTAGCGGCAGTAAGAGGTCTTCCTCTTAAGAAGATATAGACTTAGCAACCTATCTAAATTAGCGACCTCGTATACCTATATTCTACTTACTTACCTCTCGATAGAAGTGCCCTATTTTAGGTATATTATTGTCTATAGAAATAGGAGGAAACAGTGCAAATTTAATACCTACTATAGGTATAACATACACCCTAGTATTGCCTAGAAACAGCCGACTAATTACTAATTATAATTACTAGTTACTTACTTAATAATCATAATCGTAGTTACATGTAATTACAGTAACTAGTGATTATTAGTAGTTAATAATCAACAAGTATATACGGATATAGGGGCGAGGTAGTAGACACCTAAGTAAATGCACGCCGGAACGATAGATTCCCGGGTAGCGTAGAAAATATAGCCGGTAGCCGAGTGCTTATCGGAAGAGCTATATTATAGAAATAAACAAAGACGTTGTAAGAAGAAGAAGAGGTAGATCTTAGGTATAAGAAAGGAAATGCTACGGTAGTACTACGATAATCGGCTATATCTAAGGCAATTATAAGAACTTAGAGATTTAAAATTAAGACCTTTATCTAGTTCCTCTATACCTACGAGCTATATTACGCATTACCTTACTCTCCTAATAATCGAAGAGATCTAGATCGACGGATCCGATAAGAGGACTAAGAGGAACACGAGTTAACAAAGTATAAGCACAATTCAGGCGATAGTAATAGAGATAGCATTCATCTTCCAAAGTGTCCGATAGGGATTTTGAATAAGGCAGGCTGTAAGCTGCTTACGGTATAAGATAAAGGTGTAGTTTAGTCTGTAACTGCGAGCTTCGATTTTGTAGCTATCTCGAGCTAGGATTCGATGGTTTTTAATTAAAGGTTTAGGGGACAGAGTAGCTATAAATTCTACGGAGGCTTTTTCTTCGGCCTTCGTTTGTTATACGTTTAAGGTCTTCGATGCTGAGGTCTGGGGCTAGTGGGAGGGTTTTGAGGAATTCGTCGCTTAGGCCGCCGTATTTAGAGAAGTCGGCCATGTTGTATTGCGTCGACCGAGATAGAGACGTTAGGTAGTCTTTTAGATAGGGATTCTTTAGGTGAGCAAAGTGGCATTGATACCATTACTGTCGTCTTCGCCAGCTTCATTATACAGGTCATACCGAGGTCGGCATTTGCAATGGTCCCACCTCGTTGCTGACTTCATGCCCCGCGCGATCGGACTTCCTACTGATCAATACCATAGAACGATCTGGGGGGTTTGTTCGCATGTGACCAGCTACTAAACGTCTCCTACTATTTCAAGCATCAAAGATCCACCATCCCGACACGCCTTCGATACTCCTCCCGGATCTTTTTCTAATACCACCATCCAACATAAGAGCAGAGGACCATAAAACCCAGTAGCCACGGATCCCATCGTGATCCAATTCTTGCTCGAACGTCGTTGATCACACGTATCGCTGGCGGCGTTCACAAAGGCTTCGTCGAGATTGAACTGATTTGCGAATGAACATAGCAGAAGCAATTCCCGTATACTCCCGTGATTAGCATGATGGTGCCGCCCAAAGCAGTGAAGACGGAGAGAAAGCATAGAATGAGGTGCAAGAGCTCGAGCGAGGCACGATACGTCGTCTCAACGACGCAGGGAAGTTGTCGCCAAGTGTGATGCAAGTCGTTGCTACGGGCTAATGTAAGATTTTCTACTCGACGGGGACACCTGCTTGACACCGCGGTTGCAGTGTCGAAGCTCTTGCAGAAGTACCATTTCCAGCTGGCATGCGGCTTCTGTCAATCCGGAAACCATCAACGGGCCAGCAAAGGTCGGGATAGCTGCTACCCACAGAATAGTGTCTAACGTCGCCAGGAAGGGGCTGAAAGTTGCATCGAAGGCCTAGAATATTATATTGGTCCCCTGCCGAAACTCAATGTCGGTACGAAAAGCGTGCGTCGCGGTATGCTCATGCTAAAGATGATGGATAGTAGCACGAATTGGACCACTGGCGCTGCCCAGGTATCAGGATCGTTAGCCTTTGCAAGTGCGAAGCCTTTGTAGCTCTTCTTGCAGTCACCATAGTGGATGTAGACATCTCGAGCAGGACTGATGTCTTTTTCGTATTCCTGGCCGCATGTTGTATAGTTTGTCAGCAGTGAATTGAAGATCTGGGTTTGCTTGTTTTTGAAACGAAGGATGCTTTCAGTGTTAGCATTGCGGCAACAGGTTCCGTAATCGAAGCCTGTTGATACGAGACGTGCGAGTAATGAAACAGTTGTGACCATATCGCGCTTGGCGTACCGGCATGAATAAGAATGACGTCGTCAATGATCGAGGGCGCCCTCTCATGACGCCTCCATGGGAGTCTCAGGGTTGTGATCGCACATCTGTACCAAGCGAAGACGCCACACCATGATGTTTACGTCGAGGCATATTGAGTCTCTCGTCTTTCTGTCGGTCTTCCCCTCCGCGATACGTTCGTGAGCTTCTTGAAAGCCTTTTGCTACAATGTTGACCTGCACCACGAGGGTAGTGGGCAATGTAGGTGGTTTGGGTCGGCAGCTGAGCCGTCTGCTTTCTGCGGTTGTTGGGGGCCGTGGCTGCTCTTTAGTCGATTGACAGACACCCCCGAAAGACCTGCAATTGGAACAGTACAGTGTTGAAGTACTGGTAGTTACATGTAGTTCGAACTGGGGATACACAAACAGAACACGAAGCCGCGTCCGATGAAGCTCAGAGTGCCAAGCCCAACTCCTTCACCTCGGCTTGGCCCAAGCGTCTCCTCCAAGCTGGAATCCCACTACAACTTCCTGCTCTACTACTCCATACACAGCATCGACCCCACTAGGCTTCCGTCCGCTACTACTTCAAACACACTTGGAAAAGCGCATCGGTCTACAAGAGTCGATCACCCGCCAGACAGCGCAACCAGACATCTCACACGCAACTACAACCATGAGCCTACCACCTTTGCTCGCACTGCCAACCGAGCTACGACTCCGGATCTACGAATCCCTCTACAACGCCCAAATCCTCGGGCAAAAATTGCACTGGAAAGACCGTTTCTCCCTAAAAATCCATCCCGCCTCAGACGACGACATCGAAGAAGACAAGCCCAAGAAAAACAAAATAACCATCTCGGGATCCCCCTTCACCCTCCTCCGAGTCTGCCGAAAACTCTATAACGAAGTCGCTCCCCTCCTCCCGAAAACCCCAGACCTCGAACTAAATTTCTATAATTTAAAAAAATCCCACGCCGAAATCTGGATGCGGACGATCTCGACGGAACAACTCTCTAGACTTCGACATTTGAAGATTTCGGGTTGGGGGGAATGTTGTTTGAGAAGACGGAGACGGATGTATACCGACGAAGGACATCGACATAATTGTCAATTTGCGATTGCGGGGGTTTGTACGAAAGGGTGTGAAGCGATAAAAAATGAGTATGTGGGGGGGCGAGGCGTAGGATGGGATAGTATACAGGATGATTGGCTAACGTGATTTGCAGGAATGAAAGAAAAGCTCGCTCGGGACTTTGCGATCGCTCTCTTCATCTCAACCTCAAAATCTTCGAACGAGACTTCGATCCCGAGACATGGAAGCGTCTACTCGGCGCCGACCACCGCGTGCAGTCCATCAGCAACGGTTTCGTGGAGGAACCCGCATATGGACGCGAGTACTACAGAGGCTACTATCTCCTCCGGATGTTAGAAGGTTGTGTCGAACTCCACGAGCCCAAAGCCCATCCGGGGCGCTTCACGAATCAGTGTAATTCTATTGTTGACATTCAGCAGAGTTTGGCGGGTTTGGTGAGGCATGATGGGGAAATTCATGTGAATAAAGATGCGATTTTGCAGTTGATGGATTCTGTGCTTGGGGATGGGTTTCAGGGAGGGTCTTCGGAACGGTATCTTCGGCTTGTTATGAATCGTGTATAGCTGCTGCGATGAAAGGAACTGAGGAGGATTTTGGAGGGTTGAGGGATTTGGTTGGATGGATATTCACGACTTTACCTAGGTACTAACGGTATTTGAGTTGAGTGGTTCAATGCTACAAATGGAAGTGTGTTGCATTTGGAAGACCCATTGCTGAGTAGGAAGCGAGCGAGGTGCTTTAGCTCTTCGTATGGACGCACAAACCCCATCAACGCCTATTCGAGACGATAAGGAGCCAAAGCAAGATAGTCTCAACTTCTCATCACGAGCGCACCAATCTTCTGCCAATCCCAACAGCGCTCTCAAAAGCTGCACACACATTGACCTCCCAACGACACAGAACCTATCAAACCATACCCCATCAAAAAGCAATACATTTTGACAAGAGACAATCAATCCACTCCCCTTTCGCGCGACGAATACCGTTATAAGGAAATTCAGCAAGTTGAATGCCTTCTCTGACATTATTTAGTCCAGCAAGAAAGATCCGACTGACAGACCAACATCTCCCTCCCAGCTTTCTGTTTCTGTCATCCAGCTTCGATACCATAACGATAACAGTCTTTTTTTTTCTCAGTGAGCTTTTCTCAACGAATGGCATGCGCGTGGTCAGTAACGAGGCCAGAGTTGAGTTGAATGGAAAATTGCGCTATGATACAGCCCTGCACAGGGAGTCAGTCGTTGCGTAACTATCTGAAAGGAAGAAGAAAGAAGAGGCTAAAAATGCACTTCAAAAGCTCTGCTGCGAAGAGCGTCGATTGTATCATGATTTGTGCGTATGCCGCTTGCAAAAGGTCGACGAGACACAGGTTTCGCCCTCTCATTCCATTCGTCTATTAACCCTTTCAGCCAGAGTCCTCGTGTCATGGCCAACAACTAGCCATGTTATCTAAATGATGAGAATTTTTCGCCTCCAACGCCTCGCTCGTAAAGCAATGAACATTTCATCATGATGTTAGCATGTCAGCGCCGTCCATACTATGCCACAGGCGCCTGATCTGCTACACCAGCTTCTCCTCTTGCTGTCATCGTCGCGACACCTTCAATCTTCGGCTTTTTGGGGTCTCCAGCGCCGTCCATCTGATTCATGTGCGTATTCGTGACGTCTGTCATTGCGGGCCTTTTGACTGCTGTTGGAGGTCTGTAATTGTTTGCGCCTTGGAATCCAGGTCGTCCTTGTTGTGGCATCCCAATTCTTCGATTCATGTCTGCTTGAGGATTGACATAATTTGACGCGCCTACTCGTGGTAGCCCATGCGGCGGTGGCGCTGCTCCTGTCTGGAAAGAATTGGCAGCATTTGGCAGAGGTGCAGGTGAAATGGCGCTTGTCTGGTTTCCAAGCTGTGTCCTTTTGATCGGCGCTGACACTCGCGGATCGATACCATTTGTTCGCCGTATTGAGGGACTCTCGGCATGTGGATTGAAAGCTGCAGGAGCGCCTGGTCGTGTTCCGTCCGCTGCTCGTCCAGAGACAAATCCTACAGGCGCGCCGGGTGGTGGTTGAGCTGGTGCTTGGTCTAAAACATGTGCCTGGCCATTACTCTGTCTCTGCTGAGCCTGTGCTGCAGGCGATCCGACGGTGCTACCGGATGAAGAATTCGATCTGACTCCATCACCATTCGCTTGCCCCTGGACATTCGACACTTGTGGCTGCTGAGGTCTGGGCTGATTCCCTGGTGTTTGTGGAGGGAGCATCCTATTCGGAGGCTGGGCAGCAGCCATTGGTGCGTGGGGTGGGGCTTGTGCGTTCTGCATTGGCGGTTGCTGTGGCATATTCGGAGGTCTCGTTTGTGGCACTGAATTTGTCCGAGTCATAGTCTGTCGCTGTGCGTTCGCCTGTGGTCCGTTGATTGCTCGCTGTGCAGTCATCTGTGCCCCATTCGAGATCACAGGCTCATCTACATGCACCTCGTCAGGATGGTTGAAATCAGTCTCATCAAATTCATTCCCATCAAAGTCATCTTCGAACTCGCCAGATCCAACGGAACGCATCGACTGCGCGCTCGCGCTTCGCGGCATCGCATTGCCTGACCTCTGGGGCGCAGGATCCTGTGTCTGCGGTGGTTCACGCTTGATGGGCGCAAAGTCTGGATGGCGATGCAACTTCTCCTCATCCCACTTTGAAGGCGCCACTTTCACCTTCGTGACCCTACCAAGATAGTCCTTGTCGTATAAGCAGTTGCCCAGGACATTGCCGAAGCTTCGCAAAGCTCGCTTCATGGAATCTGTGGCCGCTTCCTTTTTCGCCTTCTCGAATGCTGCAGCCTTTCCTTTCGTATTCTCGCAATGGCCATATCCTATATCTTCATGGAAGGTGCCATCCTTGAGCGTCACTCGCATGACTGCCGACAGGCCGATATTGATTCGTCCCGTCTGCGGATGCTCCTCCACAAAGTCCACTGTGACATTCCGAATCTCTGAGCTCCAGCCATTGAAGCCAAACACGTCGTTGGCAAGACCTATCACCTTGTCGGCGGCGAGGTAATGCACCTTCCCGCCGCCATTGCCGGGCCGTGTGGATATATATTCTGGACCTAGTTGCTTCTGAAGCCGGCTCTGAAGCGTTGCAATTTCTGCTGCCGTGTATTCCGATACATGCGGCTGTGCTGGGACGAAGGGGTTGACGGTGTGCGCGTTCTCGCGGTGTTGGTCGCCTGGGCTGGGAGGTGTCAGTGCGGGCGCATCACCCCGAGACTTGATTGTGCACTCACGCAGGCATCATGATGGCGATATCAGAAGGCTCTGGACGCGTAGCATGGTGTGATATGGGGATGGCAACAGTGTTGATCGTCGGTGTTGACTGACTTCCCAGTTCAGGCAGCGGACAAGGCGACGGGAAACGCGCCTGGGGGTTGGCGAAACACGCGCGTCACGTGGTCGGAATATTCAGGGCTTACCTAATCCAACACCCAAGCCAGCCCCCGAAATCTGGATCTTTGTTGCCGCGAATGTCGTTCAATAGCCTTAACTTATTCAGCAAGATCTATCGATACATTCTTGATTGACTTGTGTGTTACCATTCTGCTTGTTGGCAGCTCTGGTCGCATGGTCAACTGCAAGAGCGCCAGTCCTCCGACATCCGTCCACACCACTTGAGCGAAGCTACGCCGAAGGAGAACCACACGTTGCTAGTTGCCAGTTGCCAGTTGCCATTTCACCTTTCCACCATTCGCATCATTCCAATTGCATCTGAACAATCCCGCGACCGAACATTCGTACTTGAATATCGAATCACGCGACCGCAACGGCATGAGATAGCCATCCTTGCTGCCACGCAACCCCGACGCCTCCTCCCCAAGTCGCCAACATGGCGCATCCACACACTCGCTCTGCGCCATCGAGAATACGATGGCAGTCTCTATTAGCCATACCGGCCTTGCTAGCCTCAATATGCCTGCCGACCGCATACGCACAGACAGTACCCAAGACGGCCGCCGACTACTATGTCCATGATCTGCCTGGAGCGCCTGCATCTCCTCGACTGGACATGTGGGCCGGCCATGTTGAGATCGCGCCAGCCAATCATGCCAATCTCTTCTTCTGGCTGTTCAAGAACAGGCATATTGCAAACAGGAGTCGCCTAGTACTTTGGCTGAATGGTGGACCAGGCTGCAGTTCTATGGATGGAGCGCTGATGGAGATTGGTCCGTACAGAGTACAAAAGGACGGGAAATTGAGAGTGCAGGAGGGTAGCTGGGATGAATTCGCGAACGTACTATTCGTGGACCAGCCCGTTGGCACTGGCTTCAGTTACAGTGACACCAATGCATACGTGAAGGAGATGAGTGAGATGGCCAGCCACATGGTGACCTTCTTGGAGAAATGGTTTGACATATTTCCCGAGTACGCGCATACAGATGTAAGTCGGAAGCGTCATTACGCAGCGAGCCCACGGGAAATGCTGACATTTCCTCCAGATCTATATTGCAGGCGAGTCCTACGCAGGACAATGGATACCCTACGTCGCAGACGCCATGATCAAGCGCAATAAACAGCACATGAACGACGAATGGCCGCTCAAAGGTCTTCTCATTGGAAACGGCTGGATCTCTGGTCCTGACCAATACCCCTCTTTTGTTCCTTTTGCCTTCGAGAATAACCTCTTCGCCAGCGGATCCGAAGCCGAGAAATCTGTTCTGGAAAAGCAAAAGGCTTGCATTGCGGAACTCGACAGGGGCGCAAAGGATCATGTTGACTCCGGTATCTGTGAAGATATCATGCAGGACATTCTCAAGCACACCCAGAATGACCAAGGCTGCGTGAACATGTACGATGTCCGACTTCGCGACTCCTATCCGAGCTGCGGCATGAACTGGCCTCCGGATCTCGAATACGTCAAACCCTACCTCCGCCGCGACGATGTCCTGAATGCTCTGCACGTCAACAAAGATAAGAACACAGGTTGGGTGGAATGCAACAACCAGGTCTCACAAGCTTTCGTCGCCAAGCATTCTGCGCCATCCGTCACGCTCCTCCCCGACCTCCTGGCCCAAGTGCCCATCGTCCTCTTCTCCGGAGACAAGGATATGATCTGCAACCATGTCGGGACGGAAAATCTCATCAACAGCCTGGAGTGGAACGGGGCAAAAGGCATGGAACTCTCCCCCGGCGTCACCGCTCCACGCCGTGACTGGGAGTTCGAAGGCGAACCAGCCGGTCAATACCAGACTGCCCGCAACCTAACCTATCTCCGCTTCTACAACTCCTCCCACATGGTCCCCTTCGACTATCCCCGGCGAACCCGAGATATGCTCGACCGCTTCATGGGCGTCGACATCGCTTCCATCGGCGGCATCCCAGCCGACTCCCGCATCGACGGCGAAAAGGGTGTCGAGGTCTCCGTCGGCGGCCACCCCAACTCCACCGCCGCCGAAGAAACCGAAAAAGCCCGTCTCCTAGCCGCGAAATGGGAAGCTTACCGCCGCTCCGGCGAAGTGGTCCTCTTCATCGTCATCGTCATCGCAGGAATCTGGGGCGTGGTCGTCTGGCGCGGTCGAAGATCGCGAAAAGGCTATAGGAGTGTTTTCTCTTCAGATCCATACGATGGCAGTAATGGCGGTTTGGGTCTCGACGCTCGCGCGAGTAAAGTTGAAAGAGATGTCGAAGCTGCGAGGGATTTTGACGAGGCGGAATTAGACGATTTGAGTAAAGCTGATCAAAGACATTATCGAGATGTTGATCGCGATCGTTTTGGGATTGGAGATGATTCGGATGATGATGGTGCTGATGGTGCTGGTGGGGGGCCTGCGAGGGCGAATGGACATGCATAGTAAGGAGTCAGGGGATCCGGAGTTGAATGTGTGCAGGTGTAGATGTTTCCTTCTGACATATATGAAAAACTGGACCACTTTCCTTTTGTGAATTCTTCTTCGTCTCCGCTATCTTTTGCAATCTCCTCCAGATGCATGAGACTCGCGTTCGTTGCTTGCATGCTGCAACGCCAGCCATGGTGGTCTTCCGTAAGGCTGCGGGTTGAGCTTTACCGCAAAGCCCGAGCTGGCCACGTTGGAGGATCCACGCAAAAGGAGGTTGGGAATGTCAAAAATCCCTGGGATATTTTCTCACAAGGCCAGCAGAAAGGACGACACTGACTCTCTTTCTGCTGTCTTTCTATGCCATCTCATAGCTAATTGCCACTCGTTACGATGGTATGGATCCGGAAGCCGAGGGAGGATCAGCCTGGCATCATGACAGTCCCACCAGCGCGATCGTGTGTTATCTTGTCCAAATTACAACGAGCTTGTACCCGCGATACCATTCCTGAAATTCATGCTGGGTGATGCTCCGCTTCTTCGGCGAGATGCACCAATCAAAACACCTCACCTGCGTGGAGCGCATTTCCGGCCGGAGAAGATCGGCTTGCGGCCTGTGCTTCCCTTCCCGGCGCTCTCGAACCCTTCCATTTTCCCATCTCGCTGCTGCACTTCTTTTATCTTCCATCATCTGCCGCCGACGCTCTCGTCACTCACACTCCTTCCGGCCATCTTCACGACACTGACGACTATCACGAATAATACATCTACCGAACAAACCTGTTCCGGCCCGGAAAACGCGTCCCTGGTGTTTCGCCTCTCGGCACGGAGAATCCTCACTCCCAGAAATTCTCGGAAACTCGCGCGCGCATACTCATACCGAGCCACGCCTTACTCGGTCTTCCGCCTGAAATAGGCCCAGAATCACCGCAGCACACGTATCAACAAGCACATATACCCCCCCTCCCAAAAAAAATGAAGATCTTCAACACCGAGCACGAATTCGCCTACTCCTGGGACGAAGTCAGCACAGCAAACTGGCGAAAATACTGTCCGTGGAACGACAAATCCGAACACGTAATAGCAGTCGACACCATCTCCCGAACCATCGACCCGTCCACCAAAATCCTGCGAACCGAGCGCCTCATCACCTGCAAACAATCGGCTCCCAAATGGGTCCAAACATTCTTCGGCGGAAGCCAGGACACCTCGCTCGTCTACGAAGTCTCGTACGTCGACGCGCGCGCGAAAAAAGTCACCATGTGCAGTCAGAATTTGACGTGGAGTGATTTGCTCAGCGTGCAGGAGACGGTGGTGTACAGACCGAGTATACGGGATGTGGGGAAAAGCAGTACGATTTTCGAACAGAGGGCGAAAATCATCGCGATGTGTGGGGGGTGGCAGAAGATTAAGAGTGCGATTGAGGATTTCTCGGTTGAGAGGTTTAAGCAGAATGCGGCGAGGGGGAAGGAGGGGTTTGAGAGGGTGTTGGAGATTAGTCGGGAGGTGTTTGCGGAGGAGAGGAGGAAGAAGAAGCAGCAGCCGTTGGCTGTATGAGTGGAATGGTAAAAAAAAAGAGGGTGTGATTCAACTCATGCTCAGTTTCTCCGTGTGCTATTTTTTTGGTTCTGGATCTGCGTTTTTAGCGAGCGGGGATGGCGTTTTGAGGGATTTACAGCGGCATCGGGATATGGGATTGTGTGAAAAGCGGGATTATGAGGGTTGTGTTGTATATGTGTGCCTTTGAGAATACCCGGTGCGAGTTATTATTGATCGTTGCGCTCACGCGTTCGTATATTAGATCTAGATATGAGATGATACTCTGACATTGAATGCCACAATACCTATATCTCCAAAGCACGACTCGGCTGCCGCGAACATCCACCCATTTTGCATGCATAGTTGCATCTTGACAAATGAGACATCGGTACCTGAACAAGACACGAAAAGCAAGGTACAATTTGTCAGACAGATAGATCAAAGCCATAGAAACGTGCAAATAAAACCTTCCAAGTTTCACATCACATCACATATCAGAAAATTGTATGTATATACACTCTACTTACTCTCTTGTAACCAACGATCAAGAACATCCATCCCTCTCTACTTCATTCCAAGTTCAACCCGCTATTCGCAGCTGCCAAGACCATCCCAACCATCCAAACGCAAAAAAAAAAAAAAAAGTCACGTCACAACTTCAGAAAAAAAATTGAAATTGTGCGGCTACCGGGCTACCAAAAAATCAGGTCGTGCCCAGATTCGAACTGGGGTTATCAGAATGATTGATAGAATTTCAAAATCTGAAGTGATAACCGCTACACTACACAACCAGGTGGTAATTGGTGAACTTCGATTCAAAGATGTATATACTGGCTAAGTCTTGGCGGGGTGTTAGGTAAAAATAGTGCTCGGTCTGGGATTGAGGACATGATTTGTGGGGTTTTTATCAGGAGTGAGTTTAGTGTTTCAGATGTGTATATGTATCGGTTTCTAAGAGTTGTTGGTAGATTGGATCTCTCTTCGTGACTACTGTGTTCTTCTGATTGATTATATACTTATTAAATGTTTCGTAGGATCGTAGTATTACTCGAGCTTTCGGAGTCCCAGAGCAGATTTCTTGCTCCTACATGCCGCCATACAGCTGCGCAGGATGCTGGTTCTCGTCACTGATGTATTTGATGACTTTGAAGGGACTCCAAGACTTTAGCACGCGGGATTTAAGAGGTGCTAGTGAGTGATTTCTGGCGCTCTTGATCAAAGGAGAGAGAAGGGTGTCCTTGATCTTCTGATGACCAGTCGCCTCAGCTCCTTCCAGGCAGTCCGACAAAGTCCTCCATCTCGCCAGTTCTTCTCCCAGCAACTCCACTGTCACTCTCCTTCCTCAGCCGTAGAGCCTTGCCGCTCGAGCTCCCGCCATTCTCGTTCATGCCGCCCGCAAACTCATCCTCTCCAGCAATTTTCGAAATCAACGTAGCTTTCGCCTTGGCGTCCTTCAAGCGATCATCGAATTCGCTGACCGCGTCTTCGCTATTCTCCGTGCTCACGCCGTCTGGATTTGTGAGCGTTGCCAGGCGTTCGACGTGCTTTCGAAGGCGCTCATTGCTTCCAAGTTGTGGCATGATAGCTTGACTTTGGGCCATTTTCCTCTCGCTTTTGTTAATAACATCCGGCAGTCGCGCTTCCCAAACTGCTGCTTTCCCGCTCAATTTACCCATCTCTAGGAACTTCTCAAAGCCTTTCTCAAGTCCGAAAACGCGGCCCTCGATTCGCCCACTTTTGGAGCCATCTGCGACGCCGAAATCGTAGCCTTCGCGATAGTATTGGTCTTCCAGATTGAGAACGTCTTCGAAGAGGTCTGCTTGGCCTCTTGAAGTCATGTCGATGTTTGTTGTAGGGAGGAAAGTGGTCGAGCAAGAACTTATGTAAGCGGACTGAGGCGTTTGAGGCAGAGTTGGTATTTTGATTCAAAATTGATGGCTCATTTGACTGGACATTCTCTGGGCACCTGCAATCCTGTTCGAGGGACCTCACAGCAATCCTGGAACATATGACCTCAGACTATGTCTGTTTGCTTATCTTGTTGCCATCAAAGGGCTCCTCAGCGCGGAATCGATCCTCAGTGAAGCGACATTCCATACCTGGCTGTTCCCGTTGTCTTCCCATCTTCCCATACGACGATTCCGATGAGCTACCAACAACACGCAGCAAGGCGACGAGGTGCCGAGATATTACAAGCAGGCTACGCAAAGGCAAGATCTATGAGACATCCGAAAGAGCAATAAGGGTAGCCACCGGCGTGACAAATTTAAGCGGCTGGCTTGGACTGTCCGCACGAATCTGCATTGCCCACATGAGGCTGGAGCTGTATCATCCCCTCAAGAGAACAAGCCTGGCAATGGACCACGACCGCCTGCTATGATTACTCTCCGGCTATGGGACTTGAGCTTGAGCACCACCTTTGAAAACTCTCAGCCAGTTGGCTCGGACCACTGTCCTCCGAAGATGGTGTAAAGCTGCACGTCAAGACAGTACCAAGTGTCCGTCTTTGTGCCAATGCCAATCCAAGACCGAAGACTGACGTGCTGAAATGTGCGCCTGATTCAGATGACACAATGTGCCTTCAAATTACGGCCGCGAGATGATGCTACACATATCAGAACAACTTTCTCACTTTGCGAGCCGGTTCGTGAAAGAATGCTTAGCTTAAAGGTGCCAGCAGCGCAGATCTAGCCCCGTGAACGACGATTTGTACCCCGAAGAATCAATTGAAGGACGAAGTCACACCGTGATAGCTGTAGTCGCCTTGATCAGTCTCTAGAAACTCGAGAACTTCAGGTTGAGTTCCATTCTAATTGCTAACGGACATAGTCATATCAACATCAATATTCGCCACGCAATGGTGGAAAAAAAAACAATGAAACTGCTTCATACTTCGTACCAAAGGTTGTTGGCAGATCAGACAGCTTCGGACCAGCACGAGTCCTCTCGATCTCGGGAGACACGCTCATTAAAGTGCACTCAGCTGTCATGAACGAAAATGGTCCTTCCAAGACCTTATCAAATGAAAAATGCCGTGCAAGTCATTACATATCCCTTCTCAGGGTCACGGGAGGATGATGATGGCTTGGTGGCCTGAACTAAGTACTCTCAATCACAGAAAGTCTAGCATACATATCTGCAGGAAATCTTGATCTTTCTCAATCGAATCCACGGACTCGATTTGCACCCATGAATATGGTCTGGGGTATTCAAACGAGTGCTGTGGTATCGATGCTCATCACTGCATGCCGGATATGTCTTGCTCCGGCCGTGGCGGAGGGTATCGGCCAGCTGAAATGGGTCTACTTTGAACAGCGCCCGCAATGCCTGCTGGACTCGGAAATCTTCGATGAGACCGGTCGTGCCCTTTGGGGCGCAAGCGTGACTGCCACAGGAGCCCTGCTGGCCATCTTGTCCCTCACCATAGGCCCTTTCGCACAGCAGGTCCTCCACACGGATGTCTTGCAGACTGACATGCTCAGAGTGACTGCAAGGGCGGGGGCAGCACATACGTTCAACTCAGGCTCCCAGAAAGCTTATGTCTTTTGGTCCGACGACAACAAAATTGGCACAGCATGCGCAGATACCCTGATCGCGCGAGCAGCATACAGTGACCTTTTCGCATCGGACACAGAAACGAATTTTCTCATGTGCTTCTGGCCATTGTACATGGCCTGTGTCTACAAGTCATGGGGATTTTAGTGACTACAAGGACACTTCGGCCACCAGCGAATCGCACTGTACAGGCAGCGCAGAAGTCGGACAGAATTGCACATACGGCCTAGCAGAGAAGGCAGATTTGGACACCAAGAAGATGGTGTTTACCGCTGTCCTCTTGTAGTGGGATACCTATCTGCGGGACATCATGGAGATCTTATTGTTCCTACGAAACCCGAGGACTCCAGCTGCTCGACTTCTTCTCGCTACGCTTGCCGACTAGCTATCATCACCGGGCAAGCTATGGGATACCTGCGCCCTCGCTCCGGCGATGCTCATTGGAGTGGTGCGCAAAAACCTGCAATGAACTCGTGGTACTGAACGGCAACCTGCATGCAGTTGCCTTCGCGGAGACTCGCCTGACCTTCTGGAACGCCAGCAACACCTCTTGTCAAAGTCTTGCGCATCTTCAAGAACCAGAGTCTACCGACAGCACTATTTCGCAAGGCTTTATCAAGGAAGTTAAAGCTTGTCCTTTGTCGACCGAGGACATCATCGTCGAGATTGTCGTCCTTGGAACGGCATTCTTGGCGAAAACGATCAACTTGTGTCGTGAGAAGAGCAATGTGGTCCGGAAGTCAACAACAACCATCTTTCGAAAATCATCTCCGCACGCAAAGAAGCGGTCAAACGAGAAATTGATTGAGCACATGTATGCACCCCAACAAACAAATCTCATATCTCGTACCTCTAACCCAACCAGCGTCCCACTACACGACCATACATACACCCTTCTAGACCTGAACCTGAAATTTCTCCTCAACCAACCATGACTCCTCCCACATCCACATTCTGGTCGATAAGCAACATGTACACCTACATCCCCGAACCCCCAAACCTCCCCCGTCGCCCCAGAAAACCCAACCCCACAATTCGAAGAGATTCACAGTGCCAGTCTTCTAACCACGCTGCTACATCTTCCTCTTTTGCTCTCTTCTTTTCACGGCGAGATTAGAAGCTAGGAAGTTTTTTTTTTCTTTTTTTCAATATTCGTCGTCCTGCAGCAAGAAGAAGAGGGGGAAGACAAAGGATGGGGAAAATGATGTAGTTAGTTAGTTGGATCAGGTAGACTCAAAACAAAAACAAAAAAAAGTTACACGTCTCTTTCCTTTCCTTTCCTTGACTCCTCCATCTCCATCCAAGACCGATAAGATTCCAAATCCTCAGCGAGAAGAGCGAGGGCTGGGAAAGGGTAGTTTTTCCTTCTCGTCGATGTTGCCGAAGTTGATGCCGCTCGCTGAGGTTCGCGAAAACTTCTGAGATCAGAAGCTTTCTTTTTCCGACGGATTTGAGGGTCGAGTTCTGAGATGGGTGGCGTGGTGGTGGTGCGAGCTTTTTCCCATTGTCGATCTCGGAAACTTTCTTTGACGTTTGGATTGTTGTTGAGGTGCCGTGGAGAGGCTTCGGTTTCGGTTGGAGAGGGGGAGGGGAGGGTTGGAGGGCAGGAGGCTCGGTCTTTGGCTTTGGAGGTTGATGTGGTGTGGTAGGTTGATGATGATGGGATTGTTGTTGGAGGCTGCGGCTGGGTTCGTGCTTTGCCTTTGCCGTGGGAGAGAGATTGGCATCGATCAAGGGCGGCAAGTAATTGGTCGGGTGAGCGGTTGGTACAAGTATCTTGTCTCCCCTCGGGCTGGGTTGCTGTTGAACAGCTACGACTGATCGTCGAAGTGTTTGCGGAAGATTTTCTCGATTCTGAATTGATGCATTTGGAAGGTCGTTTGCTGTCGACCCATCTTGTGGCAATGCTCTTGAGGTCTGTTCTGGTTCTGGTCGAGCAGGCATCGGATTGGGCTTCAGTGTGACGCTTCCTTGACGACGGAAAAGAAAGATGGAGAGAATGTCTGATCGTGCTCAACATGATGGCGAGTAAGGTGAGAGAAAGGAAGAGAAGTGTCAGCTCCAGCAGCAATTTATCCATCCACGCTTCAAACACCATCCAGGTCACCGGATCCAACCCATCTCGTATCCGTGGTGTTCATCAAGCGCAACAACGAATGCGTTTGAAATGCAGTGCAGTGCAGTCAAAGTGGATCCGCGCCCAAAACTTGGCGTTACACAAACCGTCCCGTCCGCCTGGATGACAACACGACAGTTCTGTATCTTTCCAGATAGGGCTGCATACAGAACGCTACGCTACGCCCGGTACAGTCGTGCCGCAAATGCAATTAATGTCGATGACACCGGCCACAAGGCGGCGGGACTCGGTCCAGAGTAGGAAAACTGATGTGTCGGTTCCAGGAGATGTGAGTTGAGATTCAGAACTGGTCGTCGGGTTCTTGCCGTAAATTGTTGTGCCAACGAAGTCGAACATGCTGCAATCGGCCGTGTTCACATGCGGCCGACAGTGCTTGTCGTTTGGATCAAAAACGGCGGTGCGTGCAGGCCATCGCAACAGATTTCGCCCAGCTGTTACATGTACACCACGATGGCATTCTGTTACAGCCCGGTCTTCGAAAGATAGAGCCAGCATTCCAGTGTCGCAGAGCGCCGTCCGTAAATACACGGTCAACCGAAATTCTCTGCATCCCCTTGACGGGTATCTAACCCCATCCTTTGCCTACAACCTCTACAAGCTTGACCTCGTCCAGCTCTTGCAACATCGTCGAAGCGGTCTTGAGTTTTGAAGCCAAGCAACATATTGAGTTGCGGCCTTCGAGAAAAGGAACATGCGTGGTGAGTTTTTCAATGCATTACTTCTACTATACAAATTCTGATACTGATATCGTCGTCGCGACGGTGTTGTGCTCCCTAACCGAGGTGAGACACCAAATGCTTTTCAACGCCATTCCCCATTCTATGAATGCTTGTGCGAGCCCGCCTATCTTCGGCCGCTTCCAACACATGATCTGCAATATGTACCGACCGTATCCATCATTACGCTCAAATGCAGCAATAAAGCAAGATGCAATATCCAATTTCATTGGCGTTTAGAAGTTGCTGGCCGTGTTGACCGAGCCGCCCGGGTTATGGTATGGAGCATTGTGTGGTTGCTGGTATCGCTCGAGTCCAGAACCGCTCGCTATTCTCTCCTTGCGGATGCTGTCGTTTTGCGAGTCCAGGTACTCATCCTGCGGCACGGCTGGCCTCTTCTTCCTGCCCCAGATCCTCCAAGCCACAACGGCGAGGCCACCAACGAGAATAGCGCCTCCGATACCGCCCACCACGCCTCCGATGATCTTCTTGCTCGATGTCGAGAGTGAGCTACCACCAGATGAACTGTCGGCAAGAGAAGGAGAAATGGTGGCTGTGGCATAGCCGGTGGTGCTGGCAACAACTTGGTCGGTAGTCACGAGCGAGCTATACACCGACCCGTCGCTGGTCCAGAATGAAGTGTAGGTCGATCGGTGGGTTTCTGATGCGACAAGGGCAGATGTGATGACTGTGGCAGATGACAGTGTGGACCTGTTGATGGTAGAAGATCCGACCACGACGATATCGCTCGACTTGCCAGAGGTCGTCTTCACGAGGCCAGTAGAGGCTGAGCCAGAAACTGCAGTTCGTGTGGCAATTCTCGACGTGACAGTCGAGCCATCAGAATTCGTCGTCGTGACATCGATGGTCGTCGGCACTGTCGATGTTGGCGTCGTCTCTGCTGAGGTAGTTTGGGCTGATGTTGGCGTTGTCTCTTCTGAGGTTGGCTGAGTCGTCGTTGGAGTGGTCTCGCTTGTCGGCTCCGTTGTCGAGCTGGGTGTGTCCGAGGTCGATGCCATCGTAGTGGTAGTTGTGACACCGGTGCCCACAACCTGTCTCTTGTTCTTGGGAAGGATTCCGTCAGGAATACTGTCTGCACGAATCTGTGCAAAGAACGAGAACATTGTTGCGGCGACGGAAGGCGTTTGTGGCCTCATAGGTCAGGCTAGCCCGGGCCAGTAGACTCCAATCGACGGTGGTGATGGCTGGCGATCGCTATTGGGCGCTCGTGCTAGGAGGTGACTACGCGCGGTCTTTTGTTGAGGCTTGGGTATCGAGCCAGGGCTAGAGCTGATGATATGCTCGATAGACTAGTCCCCAAAGGCGAGGGAAATAGTGCTAGAATGAAGTCCAAGTATACCAACGAAATTTACAAACGAGTGAGAAGTGCGAGCAAAGAAGATGGCAAGCAAGCTGGAGTGCGAAGAAGAGGGTGTGCGAGCGATGGTGACCACGCGGCTTTGACTGGTCAGCGCTGGCGAAAAGCTATCCCAGCAAGGTTCGACGCTTCCGCGTCTCGTGCTATTTTAGCCTTTCGCTACACTCTGCTGGGGTGTATATGTGGGTCCTCTGACGACTTCCGCTCATCGAATACGAGCTTCCATGCTGACTGACATCCCCCTCCCAATACTCTCACATGCATTATTATTCTCGCCAGCCTCATGCTGTGTGATATCAACACGCCCTCCGCCGTCCTGATGCAGATGTGCTCATGTCGGTATATCGCTGTGCTTCTACGCTGTGGCTGCATTGAAACACTGACGGTAGCCACACGTCTCACCAGGCCGAGGCGCTGAGCCACCACGTCTTTGCTTGACCCCAGCTCCAACGGTCGCGCCGGTATCCTAGGAACTCGGCACGCATTTTGGAACTCCAGAGAACATCAAAGCTTCGCCCAGACGACGATTACGTGGACATTTTAAGAGTAGAAATGCTGGGTGATCAGGCTGCTGAATCTTGGGGAGAAGACTTGTCTATGCCACGCGGGAGGATATTATTGTATTTCTCGTGCTGCTTCTAGAATATGCATACACAGACACAGATTTGTGTTCCGCGCAAGCGAGCGGAAAGCCCAGGCGCTTCAAATGTAACCCCTCATCACCGGCCATTCGCAGTTCTGGCATTCTGCCACTCTACTTCTTGTTGTCAGACAGCTAAATTACTGCAATTGCAATGAGCTGTCCGGGTACAAGGAGATTGAAAACCTAGCCCCTTTAGCGGTGCGTTGTGATGTGGAGAAAACGGAAGACATGGATCTTTTCCTTCATAGCGTGCATTGAAAGCTGGGAAAGATACGCCTTGACATCGACTTCTTATTATTGCTGATGGCAGGCTCCACGTTGTCTGATAGTCCCTGCAGTCTTTCTAGCTGACGTCGCCATATGCAGAGCTGTTTCATGTTATTGACGTGGCTCCAGAGCTCTTGAAATGCTCTGCATCTAGCTCTTTGACTACTCAGCAGGAACAGGCGTGCGTTCGGTCCTCATTGTCGTACACAATATGCAGCTCCAGAACTTCATCAGATTTCTAGCTTTTGTACCTGCATCTATACCCATCGTCAGCCACAAGAACATCGTAGGGTATCCCTTCCCTTCAGCAGGCCTCCCAAGTAACTAAACCTAATCTCGATTCTCTTGGTTGCCAACACCCTTGACCAGATCTCCCGGACAAATGCCAGCAAGCTTCGACGAGACAGCTGTCAAGGAACGCGTGGACTTCCGGGAACATTTGTTGGAATTACATGTCACCCGATCCGTGACTGATTTTGCAACAGCTCTCGAATAATCATGTTTAGAATGCGGAAGAATTCGGATGCCCTTGGCAACGTGTAGGTCCCGGAAAGTCTCGGAAGGCGACCAACTCACACCACACCAGCAGAGCACTTGGCAACACGCCATAACCAAGAACATCCTCTGTCATCACCTCCATTGCGACACTGAAAGTTGGAAGCGTCAAAGCCGTTGATGCCCGTTTCTGAACATTTCACGAGTGCCCACGTCTTCATCGCAACCAAGATCTCCGCCGACCACACCACAAAATATCATTCCTCCACAAGCACTTCAACTTGGGCGACGTTACGACTTTGACGTCCAATAGACTTCGTATAGAGAGCTATTCAGCTCGCGTGCCATCTCGAAGCAGCCAGCCGATCAAATCCGCGGCGCTCGCAAAGCAACATGTCTGGACAGGACGACAAGCCACTGATGCGACCCCAAAGATTTCTTTGATGAGAGCTCCAAGCAGCCACCGAAACCCCGATATCAGAAACAATCATCAAGCATCAGCTCTGAACCAGAATAGCGACAGAGCTCCGAAAATGCGATGATGTTTGACCGATGAAAACCGCGAGACTTGGCGATACCCACGAGCGACCTTGTGATGCTACCTTCCTTCCGATACGAAGAAGCAAGTCAGTAAGTAAATAGACGTATAAAAATGTCGAAGAAAGCATCTCTGTTCCCTTTCCCTCTCATCCATCAACCAGATCCTCTCCTTCTCATTCAACCCCAACCCACCAAACCCACAATGCACCACCACCACCACCTCCTCCTCGCCCTCCTCCTCCCACCCCTAACCCTCTCCTCCCCCACCCTCCCCTCGCGATCCACCCCCCTAACCCTCCTCCTCACAACCCTCTCCGGCGGCCCAGTCAACCACACCCTATCCCTAACCCCCAACACCTGGACACCCACTCTAACCTCCCTCTCCATCTCCAAAATCTCCTCCCCAACCCGCTCCCAAAACCTCCTTTCCGACTGCGAATTCCACTTCCAAGCAACCCCGAAATTCGTGAAAGAGGTGGATGGCAGTGTGACGGTAAGTCTGAAAAAAAACTGAAATGAATGCATGAGAGCGTCTTAAGTATTGATATATGTGATTTTAGTTGGGTCCACCACAACCCATCACCGCGATAAAATGTCGTGAACCGACGTGTAAAGGGACGTATGGGGAATGTGGGAATTGGGGAGGAAGTGATTATAGAGGGGAGTGTTGTGAGGGGAATATTTGTGCTGCGACGAGGTGTAGGGCGATTGGGTAGGAAGAGAAGGAAGTAGCAACATGAGAGCAGAGGTGGAGAATGTTTGAGGTGTTGGAAGGGACATGAGAAACCATATAAGAATTAGGAGGAGATTTGAGAGGATGGATGAGCATCATTAGCAACATGAGAATGGAAGGGACTTTTGCGAGTGGCCATCATCAGCAAGCACATAAGAATGAGGAGGGGATGTGAGAGGATGATGGGGAGTTTTGACATGAATTCTCGGTCGGCAACGCTTTTTGCTTTTCTACCTTCATACTCGACTCAAAGAAGCGCTCCTTGGTATCTCTAATATCTGCTCGTTCTACGGCCTATCAGGAGCACTCCCCAAAAAGCATTTTCGCAATACCCATCTGTTCACACAAGCGTATGGTATGGTAATCGGTTTCGTCATTGGTCATTGCCAAGCGCCTCTGTACGCCCATTCGCCCCAAAGTTGGCGATGGCGCTGACACCAAACCCGTATGCGGCCGTCAATGCAAAAAAGGTCGTCCAGTAGATCTCGTGCCTGCGCGCTGCGGCCTCGAGTGGTGACTCTGCATATGCTCATCTTCTTCTCATCCGCTGCCGTATACTCCAAACACATCATCGATTTCTTCTCGCACGTCTCCTCTCCCGCGGCTGAGGTCACTTCTTGCTCAAGTCAAGCTCCTCGTCTTCAGCTCGCTTGGCTTGAGAAACCTCCAACCTTGGCCATACGCTCCCGCTCTCGATCCTTGGCTTCTTGTGCAGCCTTCTCCTGTCTTCTTGAAGAGCTCTGCGTTTTCGCCAGCAAATTCCTTCAGCGAGATCAGGAAGTCGCGAAGGAGGGTCTTGAATTTGGGAAAGTCTCGGTCGAGGCGAAGAGATCGGTAATGAAGGTGGTGATTTGTGCGGGTTGGAGATTCGGGAAGGCGTTTGCAAGCAGGCTGGCAACGAACTGCTGCAGGAAGTCCTTGTTCGAGGTGCCGGCCGCGGCTTGGTCTTCAGTATAAATGGGCTGCGAGATCTTGTTCGCGCCAACAAGCCAGAAGAGACGCGCCAGCAACAAGCACTGATATTTGAAGCCGGCCTTGTGGTCCGAGTCCGTAAGCACAAAGAGCACATCTTGCAGGATGGTTGTGTAGAAGCTCTGGAAGAACGCATCACATGTAGACTGCTCGGTGTGACTCGCCATGTTCTCAATAAGCTCAATGCACATGTTCAAGCCCTCGCCCTCAACCAGACGGTTGTCGTGCTTGGACGCCCACATGCAGCTGTCAATGACAAGCTTGAAGTGCGCCTGATCAAGCTTCATGAGAGCTGGGAAGCATCGCTGGTTAATGGCTCGGAGGAGCTTGAAGAACTCGACGCGATGTTCTGGGTACTCGGAGAAGTCCTTGTTAATCATGTCGAGGGTGCACTCGAAGCAGTTATCGAGGATAGCAGGAACTTGTTCGGTCATCATGCCCTGAGGCGTGAGGTCAGCATCGTCAATCTTACCCTTGATTGCAAGCGCGCGTACAATCATGTACTTGCTGGTTTGGGAGGTCCAACGTACCTGAAGCTTGTTGATCAGGACGGTGATGACTGCCAAGACTTCCGCCTCTCGGGCGTCTGGCACGTTGTTCTTGTAATCTAGAAGGATAGCCTCGAGCAACTGCGGCACGAGAGTCGAGTGGATCATCTCCAAGTCATCAGCCTTCTCGACATATGTTGTGATGAGCTTGAGAATCTCCTTCTTGATTGTGCGCAGGCCTCGGACCTTGGGCATCTTGGTCGCAATGTTGCCATCTCGCTGGACGGCCTCGTCAATCAGCTGTGATGAAGCGCGGTACATCGTCAGCATGTCCATGTATATCCGGCCGATCTGTGGATAGAAGTAGCTGCCAATACTGCTGCATGCCGCCACGTTGGTCTTCATGATGTTTCCGACAACCTTGATCGTGTCGGCGTTCTGGAGGATGCTCGGATCTTGGTGTGCGGATTGGATGATTGAGTCCCATGCAGAGTTCGGCAAGCTCATCAACTCGCCGATCAGTCGCTCTTGGGTGTTCTTGTGGCCTTGCGCGCTGATCATGTAGCCGCATGCCTCGTAGAATGTATGCACCTGTTGGGGAGACAGATCGCACGTAATCTTGCGCATGGTCTTGACAATCTCGTCGATAAATGGCTCGGTCTCGCCAGGCTGCTGGATGACGAAGTGTCGCTTGCACTTGTTTGCAATCTTGATGAAAGTGTCGCAAGCCATATCCTGCACACCCTCGTGGGTTTCGTGCATGAATTCGAAAAGCTTATTGACGACTGTCTTCAAGAATTTCCAGTGGGCCTTCAGGAAACGTGGGTATTGGCCAACGATGTACATGATGTTCGATGCCACCACGGCCTTGTTGTCCTTGCCACGCTTCATCTCGGTCAGACCAAGCAGATCCTTAATGACGGTGACGAGAAAGCGCTTCTCAGTCTCCTCGTTCATGGCACCAGAGATGGAACCGATAGCCCAGCAGAGCGTGTTGCAGTTTGACCAACTCCATTCGCTGCCGTCGACCTGTCGCGCCAACTTCTCGGACATGATCTGTTCGGTGTCGACAACGTCCAGATGTGTGAGGAAGACCAAGCATTCGCGTGTGGTCTTGTAGAGTTGAATCGTGTCAGACTCCTTGACAAATTCTCGCACAATCTCGCCCTCGTCGTTCTCGACGATAAGCACTTCCTCGGGTCGGACCATCTTTTCAATCATGACCTGTCGGAGGTTGGAGAGAATGTCGGTGTACTTGTGTTTCCGCAGTGGGTAGTTAGCCAGGATCTGCGGGTTCATGGCGCCACCTCCATTCTGCATGCCGCTCATGTTGATGAGCGGGTTCATCTCTGTGATTGGGATTTGCTGCATCTCGTCGTACAGCTCGCAGACCAGCTTCGTCCAGTACTCCAGGCAAATCTTGAAGATCTCTCGGTCGTCGATTTGACTTATCCGGATTAGGTAAAAGTGGCCGTGAATAAGGTAGTCGCGATTCGGTAGATTCTCGATGATGCTGAGATGATTGCTGAAAAAGTTGCAAAGGAAAAGTGCGAGATTCTGCACGAACTCCTGATCTCTGCTGTTTGAAGAGGCATATGTCGACTTCAGGTCCATCTGCAGTGGAATGATGTTGGAGATGGTCGTGAGCGTCTCCGTAAACATCTGAACGAGCTTCTCGTTCCAGTTGTGCTCGGTTTGCAAGCTGCCGATTTCTGTGAGGCACTTGAGTGTGATATTTCTGAATTCGGGCACTTCAAGGAAACGGCTGCGCAGGAGTTCGATCAGCGACATGCCGGTAGATTGTGTCTCGAAAATGAAGCCGAGTGGGATCCAGTTCAGGAAGCGGAGAAGGGTCTCCAGCGTGGCTTTGATGAGGCTCGTCTGGTCTGCTGTGCGCAGAATCTCGGAGCAGAGATTGTAGATGCTGGTAAACTCGTCGCACATGCTCTGCTTGAGCTGACGAGTCTTGGTGCTGGTCATTTGCTCCTCAGAAAAGTCGAAGACCTCCTCTGAGAGCAGGCGCAGGATGGCCATGTTGTTCTCGCAGATAGGCAAGCTGCTCCGGCACGAGGTGACGATTTCGTTGATGAAGGTGGGCCAGTTGTGCGGCCACTCCTGCTTGAGAATACTGACGAGGACCAGGTTCAGCTTGTTGAGGAGTGCGCGCTCCTTCTTCAGCAGCTCCTCGGTACTGCTCTGCTGGATGATGATGTTGACCACGAAGTTTCGGATGCCCATGCACTGGTCTCGTGGCAGAACCTTCCACCGCGTCATGATCACATTGTCCAGCACCTGCAGCCCGAGGTACTTGGTCTGTGGGTATTGCGCCTTCTCGAGAATCTGGTCAACCATGAGCCATGCATCTGGGTTCTCTTTGAACTGGTTGAGCGAGGCCTGTGCTGCTTTTTGCTGATCGCCTCGACCCTCATAGAAGGCGCGCACAGTGGCGTCGAGCTCGTCGATGCTCATAGACATGTTGGCGGGATTGTGTTTCGATTCAGCTGTCCGGACGGACGTTGTCTGCGGGCGACGGCGACGATGGCTGGTGAGCTTGACGCGCGCGCGCAGACCGCTGTATCGTCGTCTACGCCTCTCTCATACAGCGGTCGATGCCGAGGCGGAGCGTGTATGGGCGTATGGGCGAGTGGAGGATGATTTTGTAAGCAGCAGGAGAGGTGGTGGTGTCGGGTGAGAAGGCAACGGCTTTGCGAGTCTACACGTTAGATGTGGCGTTGGCTAGAAAAGCCGTGTAGCTAGCGTCTGGGTGGAGTATGATGAAACACGCAGTCGCGATTACGAAGCGCGAGGTGAATGTCCAGGCTGCGGCGGTATGCCCGGTGTTGAGATGGGTATCGCAAGAGATGCAGCTGTGTTTCAAAGCAGCATACCTTCTATGCTAAGGTGGAGGTGGAGGTGCAGCAGTAGTGAGCCACATCCAAGACCACTTCATGTGCAGCACTGCAGCTCGAGAAGCCGAAGTCTAATCGAGCCCCTCGTCACATGACACTCGTCAGCAAAGAAACATTCACGAGCGAAGCCGCCAGAAAGATTGTCTCCTCATTCACGTCGCACAACACACGCTCACCGCTCGTTGGACTTTTGCTTTACGGCACTACATACCATGCTGCCAGTCGTCTTCACGGCTACGACATAATCACACTCTACAATTCTGTCTGCGAATCCCGAACTAGCAGCACAGTATAAGACGACTCTCGGTTCCAAAGAACATTCCTCATTATGGCTTCCAATAACCAGCATTTGTCCCTCCGCAACTCTCCCGCTCCAGGCTCTTCAGGCACAGCAACACCTACATCTGGCTCTCAGACAATCACCGCCGATCCAACCCAGCAGCCTTCGGCAACTCTCAGACTTCGCGGCGCATCACCTTCGACCTCCTCAGGCCGAAGAATACAATGGGCTGAAGATGTGATCGACAATGAGGGCATGGGGAAGAAGTCCTCAAAAGTCTGCTGTATCTATCACAAACCACATGAGCCTGGCGCCTCGGACAGCAGTTCGGAAAGCGATACGAGTGATTCCGATTCGGAGCCCGATTTGAGTCGTGCGAGAAAGGCCGGGTGCGGCAAGAAGAGAGGTAGAGGGAGTAAGAGGGATGGAGAAGATAAAGGCCAGAGGAAGCCCAGCCCAAATGCTTACGAGAGGCAACCGAAGCACAAGGGGAAGCAGAAGCAGGAGGGATGAAAGCAGAGACAGAGATTGAAGAAGGCCTACGAAGTGCCTGTCACCTTCTGACATCCAAAATTGCTCCTTGAATACATGTAGGAGTCGTGCGGAGGAAAAGAGAAGACGGGAAGGAAAGGAAGCATTTCTGGTCAACATAGGCTTGAAAGGATAGCTCCTTCGTTGAAGGAGCACGCATGCTCTGCACGAAAGCGCGGAACCGTGGCGCTGAATTTGCTCCCGCCGTTTTCAGTCTCCTGCAGATATGCAATGTCCTCCCGGGACTTCCTCACACCCGACACGTCTCTCCTTGGCGTCCATCTTACTGAGCAGAACATGGCCTGCGTGTTGTGCATCATCGACTGGCTTGCTTGCCTCGACCATTGTACTCGCAACCTCAGGGTCACCCCGCTGCAAGGACCGAGGCCATCATACATGCTCGAAGTACATGACGCCTCGTAGCACCAGTCCTTCGTCAAGCAAGATACATGTATGTCCTGCTTGAGAAAGCTTCGATAGAGTCACATTATGTCGCTCGCAGCTCTCATTCTCCAGTCTCTCCCTTCTGCTGCTGCTCTTTCTGCGCGGCTTCGGCCTGTGAAATGGGAATGCGGACCAGAGTTTGCGGTAGCTGTTGCTTCCCTTCTTCGACCAGCTCGTGTGCTGAGTCTTTTGCTTGCGGAATTTTGGCTACAATGGGTAGTCAGTACGTAAGCAGGTTGACAATGACCACGGCGCATGACATACTGCTCGCCATATGAACTGCGCGCAACACGGTATTCCAATTCGCCATCACGTGCGCAACTGCTTCCGTTCCATCACTCAATGTCTGCAGCTTCTCCTCCAATTGCTGCATCTGCCCAGCAAGGCCTGCGGATAGGTCACGTAATTGCTTCAGGCTCTCCAACTCCAGCTTCTTTTCGTTGATGCGCGCGTGTAGTGCCGAGGATTGGCTATTCGAGACTTGCCCCAGCCCTGATGATGGTCGCATGAGCCCGCTCGTTGGGCGAGGACCATACGACATTGCGATAGACAGTCTGTGTAGTGTAGTATGGAACAGGAAACATCATGTTTCTCGCGCATGTGAAAGTCGACAGACCCCGCGACGCGACAACCATGCAAGTGGAGCGGAAATGCCGCGACTAGCGAAAGCTTGACGTTGCCTGTGGAGACAGTCCGAAAGTAAACACCTCGATCGAATCTCCATTCGCGAAAGCATTATCGAAGAGCATGAAATACCCGTCGCTTCGAATACACGCCTCTATCGACAGCAGAGCTATTCCATAGCCATCAGCAGCTTTGTCGGACATCGAATACGTACTGGCGCATTTCTCTCGACGCGTTTTTGTGCATGGCGCGACTCAACGAGCCGCCCATCGCACCTTCTCTTGCGACGGCGAGTAGCCTGGCCAACGGACTCGGAGCAGGAGGTACAGGTGGCGAGAGTGTCGAAGTCTGTGAGTATGACCATACGCCTGAGCAAAGACACGCGAAGCAATGCGCACGAGATCCGAATTGCCAGTGAAACAAAGACCGCCTGCTGATATTGCTGAAGTAAAACGCCGCTTCATACGACAGAACCGCGAACTCGCCAAGAACAACTCAAGTCAAAGTCTACGCATCAGGAGTCTGGAATTGGAAGTATCGAAGCTTTTGGCGGACAACTTGGAGCTGAGAGAGCAAGTGCTTGGTCTACAGAACGAGCTTTACGATGCACGTGTGCAAGCTTCGAGCGCAGCGGCCAAGAGACTGAAGGTGCAGTTACGCGCACAGATTGCTCAGCTTGCGGGACTGGTGGATAGCATTGATGACGACGGCTCCGAAGGCATCGAGAAAGCAGTCCCGGAGAAGAAGGAGCGCATATTGAGCCCGAGCAGGCGAGAATACCGAGAACGACAGCCACTTGCTGAGCTAATGCGAGATACGCAAATGCCGACCATCAATGAGGGCAAGTCATTCCCGCGGAGAACGCTAGATGCCGAGCAGATCAATGAGATAAGGCTCAGTGCTGGAAGCTCGGGAAGTGTTGAGCTAGGCCCACCACCGGTCGCCCATTTCGTGGATTCGCAGGAGTCGCTCGAGCAAGAGCCCGTTCAAGTCAACGAAGAGGGATTGATGCCATCTGTTGAGATCACCCGGAGAAAGCGAAGGGATCCGTCGCAATCAAGCAGAAGGTCGTCGATACTCGCGGAATCTCTTCTGAACGCCGACGAGGAGAAGCCTAGCACTATGCTCAGAACAGGCGCAAAACGGAAGCTAGCAGATCGTGATCTCGAAAAGGGTAGCAGACCGCCATTACAAGCAGATTTCACGTTCAGCCGGAAATCGGCGGTTGAGCAACCAGCTGCAGAGAAGCCGAAAATCTCAGAGCCAGCTGTTGAGATCAAGACGAGCAGTGAGACCGCTGAGAGGCCAAGTTCACCAGTCAGGCCAGAGAGGAGGATCTTGAGCGAGAAAAGCACCAATATGTCTCCAAGAAAAGCCGCTGTGCCAACTGGCAAGCCCGCAAAGAAAGGAATCTCCAAGCAAGCGGCGCCGAAGATGGAGGCTGACAAGGAACGTCCTGCTTCTAGAGGCAGCAGGAGGTTATCTTCGCTGAATGTGCTTCCACCACCAGAGCCCAAGGACATTGCTACGACAGTGGAGATCCCAGCACCAGAGCCTGAAACGTCGCCTGCTGAGCTGGATCCGAAGACGCCATTCATCGCAGCTGAAGATCTTTTCTCGCCGCCACAATCACATCCGTCGACTGGAACCAACATGTCTCGACATGGCACACCACCTCCTGCCGAACTCAGCTCTCTAAGCAATACTACGGAGGGCAGTCAAAGACCCTCCCGCCGAGCAAGAGCTGCTGTCAGCTATGCCGAGCCCAGTCTGACCGCCAAAATGAGACGTCCAGACAAGAAGATGGTCGACGCCGTTTCTGGTCTACGAGATCCCAGACTTGTTATGAGCACGTCTTCGAGATCTAGCATCGGTCGACGCACATCTGGGGACATCTCTGAGCGAAGCATGACCGGTATCAGTGGAGGGCAGAAGCGGACAGGCACTGGTGAGGTCAAGATAAAACCGGAACCATTCGAAGACGACGATTGGAAAGCGACACTGGAGAACACTTCTCGACCCAGCATGGGCAGCCCACTGCGCCGTCGCGATGCTTCATCGCCAGATCTTCCAGCTCAGTCGCCACTACGACCAAGTTCAGCAGCAGGCTCCGACACTGCGTCTACACTATTTACTCGTACCCCTGCCGGCATCGGCAACCTCCTCGCCGAGTCTAGGAAACGACGCGAGGCTATGGATGCTCGAGAAGCGGAACGAGAAAGCCGAAGATCATCACTGTCCGACGACTCCATCACAGCTGCTGCCAAGAAACTCGAAGAATTAGAACTTTACGACTTCAAGGACTCATCTTCGCCAGCGACTGAGGAGGCTGCACAGACGAAGAAATCCGGTCATCGTAGGCATTCCAGCGTGCCTAAGCCTGCTGCTCCTTCTAGCGGCGAAACGCAACGAGTGCCGTCCACAAGGGTCGCGAGTCGACGTCGGAGTATGATGTTGTGATGAAATCCAGACCCCAGAACTCACTTCAGCTGTTGAGAGCCAGCTCATCATGATAGAATAGTTTCCTGGGCATTCGCTTACAGTAGTGTTGTTGTCCGTTACAGTAGAGCGCGCATGCGAGATACCTTCACTTCCCCCCCTTTTCCAGCTGGTCCTATCCCATCCTATCTCTCCTGTCGTCTTCTTCACCCTTGCGAATTTCCTCGATGCCTTGATAGTAGTTCCGCACCAACAACGTTAACGTGAAAAGTTCAAAATTTTTTGGACTCGGAGATCTTACTCCTAAAGCAACTTGGAAGGAAATGTAGGATAGGTCTCTTCTTATCGAATGTAGGAAATTGGGGGGTGGGGACTACAGCAAACAAAATGTACATGACCTAGGAGTACTTCCTATAGAAGAGTGGTGAATTTCAGCAGTAGTCAGTCCGAGCCCTTGCCAAAGTTTACTGTATTGTAATTCTACAGTTTCGTAGATCAGCAGAGGGCAGGTATCTCGACCCATCTCAACTTAGTAAATGTAACGTCTTTCTCGAGAAGGAGATTGTGAAGACACAGACTCCTCCTTTCGACTAAAGCAAGCCTTCTAACCCCCTGGCACTGTCAATCACAGACCACGCTTGACAACACAGTTGTCCTCAGCATCTGGAGTACGCAAGCGCTGCCCACGCGCCCATGTTTCCAAACAGAACCACACTAGGTAGACTCGGGACCTTCGATTCAATTGCCATGGTATCGCGTTCGCCCTCGCCTTCGCCTTCGCCTTTCTCAGAGATCTGAAGTCCTGCCATGCAAGTTGCTGCTCGATCGGCAAGACTCCAAGCAGCAGGCCCCGAGATTCGTATTCCTCCGTAGCAGTATATATTCCTTTCAAAGACCGGAGGTGGTGCTAGAATCGGGGAATTTCAGCCACGAAATCTTGGTGATGATTCTGAAGCTCGGGTTGTTCCCATTTCAAGAGCCTGACGACTTCATTAGACTGATTCCGACCTTTCCGGCTGCGCGAGAATGCAGTTCCTATACGACTGATTCTAGGCTCCACATTAAGATGATACAATGAATCAGGCTGATACTGAAACTGACGGTCGCAGTAGCCACTATTTGATAGTCACCGGATGTTTCTGGATATGTTTGGTGATCTTCGCTCTGCTCTTTAGTAGCGATTGGCTGCAAAAGGGGCATCGCTGCCGCCTCAGTTCGAACTTGAACTTGCGTGCAAGGAGATTCGGCGCAGCTGACGGGTGCATTGCTAACCGCGAACAGTCTTTCAGTGACCGGAGGCTCGTGTGGCTCGAGGAGCTCTGCATCATGTATGCGATATTCTGGAAGAGAAGGTCCACTCCATGGGTGCGGCCCGAAGAAGAGCGAGGAGGCTGGTCACTTCAAAGTCGCATAACTTTTCGCTCTCCACAGTCGGTTCATGTGGGTGACTTTGAGCATTCTCCATGTGCGTCACCACCGCAGCATTCGGTTCATGGTCATGGTGTGTGACAAGGTGGGAATGACAGATGTCTTCCAAGCCGATTTGTGACTCCAGAAGTCCAGCAGGCTTTAGAACTGTGAAGGGGGCGCTCATACCACGTCTTTGGCTGATTGTGGTTCCTGCGGATCACGCAAAAGCATCCCGGATCCCCCCTCGCGATTCCTGCATGGACTTCATTCTCGTGTCGCTGGCGAAGGTCGTCTCTCGAGAATAATTTATCGCAGTCCGCGACCCGACAAGCATGGTAGACGTCAGGCTGCCGCGCCTTCGCGCAATGTTCTGGCGTCTGCTTATGTACTTTCAAAGACTTCTCTGCAGAATAATGCGTGTTGCATAGATCACAATTGAAGCGACCAGACGTCGTAGATACTTCGTGTCCAGGATCCATCATGAAATGTGAGATACGTCACCAGGAAGTTGTGTCGCAAGAGGTGCCCAAAAGCGCTGCTGAACAGGGCCAATAATATGAAACGACTAAACGTGAGTTCAGGGGATATCGTACGAAATTCATTCTGTGAGTGATTGTCCAAGGGATATATGTCTCAGTGATGGCGGTGCGATTGATGCTTCAAGGATATGTCTGGAGGTTCAATCTTGGAGGTGCCGGACAACGAATCAGACCGACATTGTACTGAGAGAAGAGGTGTCTTGGGCGGATGTTCAGCCTCGACGTAATGGAGACATGGAAGTGCAGGATTCGCAGCATGATTGCCTGAGACTTCATGAGTATACCTAATCTCGGCCTGCCGGATACTAATTTAGATGCCTTACGGAGTATGTATCGACACCAGGAGCCTATCCGGATCTTGCCCTTTCTCCAAGTGCTGCCTCACGCTGGCGAGCCATTCGTAGGATGAAGGATCCATGCTTACTTCCGAAGACTGGTCGGGCATTGCCAATTGAGGCATGACGGTGGTTGTTCGAGAGCTGTTGCCATTTACGAAGGGTTTCGGAGAAAATTAATGGCGAGCCTCATGATGATGAAGAATAGGTGACACGAAAATGAAATTGCAAGCTTGCAGCGTTTCCTTCCATGCACGGTAAAGGCTTCCATTCGAGCAGATGATCTCGTTGCCCATTGATGTTTTGACCAGGCTGTAACAGTGAAAATGCCAACCTGCGAGCACTGCAACCTCAGATCAGGTAAAACGAATCAAGGCCAATCTGGTCTCACCTGGATGGGCACTTGGTCGGAGAGCATCCAGTACCAATGAAGAAATAGAGGGATATCGACCACTCGGGGCTGAGGAAGAACAATTACTTTCTCACTAGCACTATGCTATTACACGCCCATCATACTCCACGCTTCTCCCAAAAGAAAATCGACAACAAAAGAGACATGCTCGCTGGTGTTGGTATCAGTAAAGCAGAGTCGCCGCAAACCCTTCCAATCTCTTCACCATTTGCTGGTCCCGTCTACCGCACTCCCTGAAAGTGTCGCACTAAAGATGCACAAGAATGGAACGAATCTTTCAGTACTCCACGAACTTCACTGCCTCCGACAGACCATCTTGACTGGCGAAACCACGAGTGTGGGATGGTGTGCCGCCTGTCCCAGGCCCAGCCCGAGGAATATCAGGACCGGTTGTGTTCGGAGCTGTCGTTCTTCCTCCTGGCGGTGGACCAACTTTCATGACAGCATTTGGAGGTGGAGGCAGCGGTCTTCAGCAGCAGTCAGCAAGCACAATAAACAAGATCAGAGGTGACAGTAGGTAATAGAAATGCTCCATATGGCTGGGTATCTTCTGTGTTGGGGAGCATTCTAGTTGTACCCGTTCATAGTCATCCTCTGGCTTTGTCTGCTGAGCTCGCGGTCGGCGGATGGTGAGATCGGTCTGCTACCACCATGGACTTGGGCGGAGCTCTCCTTGAGGGCGAGGAGCTGCTTGGCACGGAAAGACTCGTAGTGGATTTGCGAGGTAGTTTCGATCAGGTCTTGGAGATGAGTCCTGGTCAAGAAGTTGCGGAGGTAGACAAATTCGCAGTGGTTCTCGTCCTCGACGTTGATGGTTCCCCAGCGAGTCTGGCGGCCGCGAACAGTCTTGCCGTTGACGTTGATGTTGCGCTCGCTGCCGACAACAGCGAATGGGATGGTGGACTGGATGACGAAGTTAGCATGTACCACGAGATGTCACAAATTGCCTTTCGTACCTTGATCTGCGCATTCAACTCAGCCTCCTGGGAGTCATACTCCTCATTGTCGTATGGGTACATGCGGATGTTGTGGAAGGCAAACTCCTCCTTGATTCGGTCCTTGAAAGCTTGTCGCTCGTCGAGAGTAAGGCTGTCGGCCTTTGCAATGACCGGGACGACGTTGACAGTCTCGCTGAGCTTCTTGAGCACGACAATATCGATTGGCTTCAAAGCGTGGCCAGTCGGCGCAATGAAGTACAAGCAGCAGTGGATGCGGGTGTCCTGGATGTATCGCTCTCGCTGAGCAGTGAGCTCCTTGCGGAGGTATGCGCTGTGCTGGTCCTTGATGTACTTGACGATGGGATCCCAGCAGCGATCGTTGTTGACCAAATCGCCATATCCAGGAGTATCGACAATGTTCAGGCGCAGGCGCACGCCATTCTCCTCGAGGATGTGAGTGACAGGGTGGATCTCGGTGGTCTGGCGGACTGGCTCTTGGGGCGCGAGACGTCCTTTGCTGTCAACAAGATGCGAGGCGAAAATGGTGTTGATGAGGGTGGATTTGCCGAGGCCGGTTTGTCCTGTACGCGCACATACGTGTTAGATTTGTTTCTACGAGTTGCGCGGAGGCATTGGCTGCCATTGGCACGAGTCATTCGCCGCGTGGGAAAGAAGGAGACATACCAACGCAGATAACGTTGAACTGAAAGCCGCGCTTGACCAACTTCCTCTCGATCTGGTCGGTGATGGTGTCGAAACCGACGTGGCTGTTGGGGAACACGCTCTGCTGCGGCTGCTGCGTCATCATCGCCGCCATTGTCGCTGGAGTCGCTGCTGAGTCGGCCGAACGGGGAAATCGAGGTCGAAAGGGTGATGGGAGGGAGTCAACGAGCGACGTTTCGTTGGTATACGGGCGTAGGCAATGGTGATAGAGATGGAGGCGGAGATGGAGAAAGTGCGGCCTGCAACGCAAGCTTGCACAGGGTTCACGCCGCACGGCAAGTCCAATCACCGCCGCGGGAAAGAGCCGCCAGAAATGAACAGCCCGGCCGCCTTGGCAAGGAAGCGCAGCGCAGATCTCCAGCCCGTGCAAGACAAGAACAACGAGATACACATTCATCACCACCATGGCCGCGTTCCGAGCACCGTCCGCCTCTTTCCTCGCTGCATTCCTCCCAGTTGCGCGCGAACGATTAATTCACGAACCTGCCACGAGACGGATACCTCTGCTCCAGCAAATCCAGCAACTGCGAATCGATGCCGCCCTTTCACCCCTCCTGCCCGCAGCTCTTACCCCGATCCCATCATTACTTGGACAGCTGTGGGAAGGCGTCTTGCGCGCAGTGCCGAAGAAGAAAACGAGTCACATGAAGAAGCGACATAGGCAGATGGCGGGCAAAGCACTGAAGGATGTCACCGCATTGAACAAATGCAGCGCATGTGGAAGGCTGAAGCGAGCACACGTGTTATGTCCATATTGTGTGACTAGTACGTGATTGGATGTGAGAGTGGAGCGTTGCGATACTAACATGGCCCAGGCATAAAACAGTGGTTCGCAAATGGATTCAAGTCAAAACAAGAAGTGGAGGAGTTGGAGAAGAAGCGATTCGAGGATTTGAATGACTCGCTGAGGGCCAGAGGAAGGCGGCCTCTCCAGTGGGAATCTCTGTACGGTGAAAAGAAGAGCCCGGCCGAAGCCAAGTGAGGCAGGAGGAAAAAACATTGGAAGCATAGCGATGGCGTTGCGTGAGGTTCGGCGCATAGTCCTGGCACATAAGAGATGCGGCAGAGAGAAGGGTTCAAATTATGCATCTCACAGGTCTGACGATGAAGTTGCGCATGCAAGAATGGGAGGAAATTGGTATCGACATGTTTCATGAAATATTTAAGCAGAGCTCACTGAACGTACCACGAACCATCCTTCGATATTTCCCGCGCAAGACCGTAGATATCGGTCTGGAGCCATGCTCGCAGGCAATGCGACAAGTTTCTGCGATGAAATCCGGCGAAACCACTGTTGGCACGGTCTGCCAGACATGCATCGACTGGTCCACATGCGGACACAGCATCTGGTGATGTCTCACTTGAATGTCTGCCGTCGAGATGCCCGTGTGTATATTACCTCGACAGACTTAGCCACATCAACCATCAACAAACTCTCGAGACTCTTACCACACAATGCGGACTGCAACTCGCATCGACAGTATCAAGTCTAACATTGACCAATTTCAATCTCATGCATGCGACCTCCTCGATGCAATCGAGGCCTTGCATTCCTCATCTGTTTGGCGCAGCTCCGACAGCAATCAAGAGTTCAACGATAATAGAAAAATATCAACGCCTCAGCATCAAAAGATATCCAAAGCTTTCAGCCGCTTCTACCATCGCTGGCGTCTCCTACACAGCGAGCCAATGTCACACTTCATCAAGATCCTCCGACGATACTCTTTACTATCCAGCCCCATCTTTGAACCAATCAAGAGAATCCTACACCACGAGATTCACAACCCCAGTACAAAATCCCGCTACAGAATCGCACAACTCGAAAAAGGCACCGCAGAATACCTCCCAACCATCTCAGAAATGCTCCAGAAATTCAGCACAACAGTCAACCAAAGCCGAACCAAGCCCTCACGACTCGGCCACCTTCCTCTCGCGGAATGGATCCACGAACTAGAATGGTACGACCATCAAATCTTCCAATTCGAACAAGACATCTTGCAAGGCGAAATGGAAGAGCTTGAGGAGAAAAGAAATGCGCCTGATCTGATCAGCCAGGCAGACCATCATACCTTGACGCCCAAAATCTCCGAGGTAAGGTAGCATCATCATCATCATCATCATCCTAGAAGAAAATGGAGGGTGAAGAAAGACGTCAGTCAGTCAGGATTAGTAAGGAACTTAGAAGAAGTGAGAAGAGGAGGAAGATTTTGATGGGAAAGGAAAGGAAAGGAAAGGAAACTTGCGAATTAGAGAGGAGGAGTTTGATTATATGTAGACACAACTGTCTGAGTACCTATGAAACGCGTGCCAGCGTGCTCAAGAATTGCCCAAGAAACGGAAACGGAAGACAAGAGCGACAGAGGTAGGTCTCTTGTTGAAGTTTGGGATCGCGCAGACACTCGCCGAAATGGATGTAGAGCGTCGCACGCCACGCCACGCCACTTGTCAAGGGAAGCCATGGGTGGTGCATCCCAGGACAGGACAGGACAGGACAGGAAAACAGCACATGCCAAGGTCTCCGGGCCCATCTGCTTAAAGAATTTGGATGTAGGTCATGTCGGCAATTTTTAAGGATGGGAGGGAGTCTTAACGGCCAGCCCATTCACCTACTCTCAAATTTCTTCGCTGCCAAGTTCTCACATGCACGCCAAATCTACCTAGCTCCTAGCATTAGGATTGAACACCTGGTCCACAACCATCTCCTTCACGAGGTGAATCGTCTGCTCGCTTGGATAGTCATGTGCAGGCATTCCCTCCAAAGGAGGCGCAAGCTCCCACAGCAAGCTCACGTTCCCACCCTCACGCGCCATCTTCAGGCGCCAGAAGATGTGGAATCCCTCGAAGTTCTTCCCCTGCTTCTTCTTCGTTGTCGTCAGCCGGAAGCCGTGAGCATGCCAATCTGGAGCCTTGACTATGAGAGGCGGGCCCCAATGCATGACGTCGCGTCTCATCCCAGCTTCTCCGCCCCACTGCTGGATGTGGCTGCCGTCCTTGATGCGGGTCTTAGTCCAGTAGATCTGACACTTCAGAGGCTGGTCCTTGTGTGCTTCCTCGATGAAGTCCCATTGCCAGACCGCAGAATCGACTGGACCCGTTTCTCCTGGCTTCATGAGTGTGACCCAGCGCTCCTCGACCCAGAGCTCGTCATCATATTTTCCCCTCATGACGATTCTCTTGTTAATGTCACCTTCTCTCGCTGGAATGTTACCTCTTCGGGACAAGATCTGATCTCCCTTCTCATAAAGACCATCTGGGTGACGAAGATCGTCGAAGTGTTCATCTTGGGAGATGCCGAAACAGTCTGTTGGGGGCACACTGATGTCGATCACATCTTGGTAGCGCAGAGCCACACCGCGCGCGACTGGATGGGGCGCGAGGGCGACGCTTGGAGCAACATCCTTCACCTTGTCCTTGCCGAATGCATTCTCGAGTGCCTCCATCAGATATCGCGACTTGGAGAACCCGCCCGCCACCAAGATGAACTTGACTTCCGAGTCCTTCAACAGGGCTGAAACAAGATCGACGTTCTTCTTAACGACAGGTTCAAAGAATTGCCGCATTTCTGCCCTGTGAATGAGGAGGTTAGTACTTTACATGCACATCCTGTTGAAATATGGCCAACCACTTACGCGTTCACTCTAATGGTGTACGATTCAAGTCCAGTACTGTCGCAGTCCTTGCCGCTGACGGTAATGTTGGCTATTTTCGTGGTCTTCGTGGTTTTCTGTTGTGAGAAGCCATGCTTGGCCTGCTCAAGAAAGTTGTCCTTACTGATGTCCAGGTCCTCAAGTAGTGCCTCGAGGCCATACTTCTTTGGCTTGTCCTCCTTGCCCTGCTTCGCATTGCCAATATCGTTTCGCAGCGTCTCCTCGCCGTTTTCGGGTTGGGGCTTGGGCTTGGGCTTGTCCTTCTTGCCCTTCTTGCGCTTCTTCGCATTGCCAATATTGTTTTGCACCGTCTCCTCGCCGTTCTCGGGCTTGGGCTTGGCCTTGTATTTGCGTTCAACATATGGTGGCAGCCACTTGAGGAACTCGGCGTCAACAAATTCAGAGCCACATAGGTCACTCTCTGACGGTGCCAGTTTATGAAGCTTTACAGCAGCGCCATCATTTGAGTCGCTCTTCTGCTGCAGCCGAATGCCGTCAGTCGTACCACCACCTGCGTCGAGGAGGATGAATTGCTCGCCTGCCAAGTACAAAGCCTGTCCGTTGTTCTTGAGCTGGTCGAAGTAGAATGCGGCAGAGGCATGAGCTTCGTAGACGAGCTGCACACGGTCGACAAGGCCAGTCTTCTTCGCAGCTTGTGACATGATGCGGTTCTCCGGCGGGTCCCAAGCTTCCGGCACGCTGATGAAGAGCACGGTTGGCATGGCTTCCAATTTCTGTAAGACGGGTTAGCGTAAGGCAAGGTTAGAAAAGGAGACACAGGATCTCACCTCCTTCGAAAAGCCAATAAACCAGTCCTCGCTCATCGAGGACAAGCTCTTCTGAAGAATCTGCCTGAACAGTTCCTGAAGCACTGTCTCCGCATCGAATCCACAAGCCTTCAGACGGCGCTCCGCTGTATCAGCGATATAGTTATCGCTATGAGCTCTGTATATGGAGAGCTTGAGTTGCTCAATGATGTTCTCGGCGGAAACGGTACCAGCCTCAATGGCCTTCTCAAGTTCCGCGCCTACAGTAAATGAGTCAGCAAGCTTTCATACAATGTACGCTCTGAGACGTAGCGCCGAGACTGTGCTGCCATTTCTGAGGCTACTGCGTCGGTCACGGTCACAAGGGTATACTTACCCCAAAGCAACCGATACGTGCCATCATCTTGCTTCTCGAGGGCGATGCGCGAGGTAGTGTGGTCTGCATGTGCGCCCAAGCGAACGTCGCGCGCAGCAGAGGGTTCTGGTGGAACTCCTGGCTTGCCGACCCAGTATGTGACCATCAACTTCGTGGTGCCAAAGTCGGCGCTAATGAAGCGAGTCGTGACAGGACTGCCGCTGGGAGTCGAGGTGACATTGTTGGTGTCCTTGTTGCCGGCGTCAGTACCACCCGGCGGCGCCATAGCTCGCTGGCCGGCAGTCTTCGCAGAGACCTCAAGCTATGCCAGGGGATGCGATAAGGGGGGCGTTGCGAGAGTGTTGGACCAACCGCGATGGTGAGATGTTGGCTTACTTGAGGTTGTCCGCACGCGCAAGTTGTTTTGACACGGGCGATGTTTTGTATCCCGAGGTCGACTCTTTTGAGCGACAAGCGGCGGAATACACAAAGTGAACGAGAAGACGCGAGGTGTCGACGTCCGTGCGTTGGTTGGCCGGTCAGATCTCGAACGCTTATGCATGTGAAGTTCAAAGTCGGCTTGGCATCATCGCGCGCTTCACTTTTGCGATGAACACAATAAGCGAGCACAACAATAACAATAGCCAAGACAGACTAGCAACTTCACTTTTCCATCCGTCGAAAACTTCTTCTTGCTTCGAGAACCCACCACACTGCCATCTTCGCCCATTGCTCTACACACACCTGCCACCCCAGAAGAACACTACAACCACACAACCGACATCGCACTGGGAAAGTCTGCAAAAATGGTTCCTCGCCGAGACAACCTCCGTGAGGAGGCATTCAAAGTCCTGCTCGAGGATGTCGACAACAGCCCATCGCTCTACAACACGAAGGCGGACCAAGAGAGCCGCATCGCAGCTCTTATCGCCAGAGAGGGCTTGCAAATCAAGAAGGCCAACGCCACAAATGCCATTACACCAACCGCCGGCGAGCTGAGAAGTCTTCTCATCGCATACATCAGCGGTAACGGCACCCCATATAAAGGTGTTGATGTCTTCAAAGCTGGCAGCCATGCGCTTAACAGTGGCCAGCTCTCGGCTCTGAGGAGCGTGCGGCCACAGACCAAGCTGCATGCCATCGAAGCGCAGAACAGGGGGATTTCCGCGCAAGAGGTCGAACAAAGCCCCTACTGCTATTGTCGGAAGAACAATGGGCAGGAACTCATCAAATGCAGCAACGAGAGCTGCGATCACCAATTCTACCACCTCGAGTGCGTCAACCTTGAGACGAAGCCGACCAGTGGAGAGGAGTGGTTTTGTCCCGACTGCACTCTGCCTGAAGACTCTTCAATCTCTGGCATCAGCGACGTCGACGGTGGCAAAGCCCGTGGAAAGAAGCGCAGCATCGACGAAGTGCCCGACCTCGAAGCCGACACAATTTCTGCCGAGCGTAACGCAAAGCGTGTCAAGTCCACAAGCGAAGGCGACGAGCAGAACTCTCGTGTCGTATCAGAAGTGGGCCAGGTGCAAGCCGAAGCTGGTCCGGCTGATACGAGAGATATGATTTCTCAAACAAAGCAAGATGCACAAACCTCGAACTTCGCTCGGTCTGATCAACGCTCTGCGATCCGGAATACACAGACCGGTGTCCTTCGAATAGTTTTCAGTCAAAAAGCTGATGGTGGTGTATCTGGATCGAAGCGCAAGAGGGACGATGGCTTAGAGTCAGATCAGCCTCGCGATGGGCGCGGACAAGGCAACCCAGCATCATCCAACGTAGAGCTTGTTGCGGGAGACGTAGAAGAACCACAGTCTAAGAGGTCGAAAACGTCTCAACAAGCGTCAGACTTGCACAACTTCGAGGCCGTCATTGAGCAAGAATCTGCAGGACAAGAGGCAGAGACTCTTCCCAGTACAGCCAACGCTGGAGAAAAAGTTCAGTCGCAACCAAGTCAAGCTGGAAGCTATCCGGACCGCCTGAGGGAGATAGAAAACCTGGCAGGCGATTGGCAGCGAATCCGCATCGATATCCAAAACCTCGCAGCGTTCTTTTTCGAAGGATTCGCTCTTGACAAGAGCTCTGTTCCTCCTCTCGCCGCCGATCCAAGCGCAGATCTCGAGCGGCTCTATCAGACCGTTTTTGGCGACTGGCGACATCACGTTCTAGTTCAAGAACCAACGTTCCTCCGCTGGACCCGAGTTCTGCAAGGTCTCATAGGCGCATCCTTGTATGAGAGGATTTTGTCGAAGCCTGTGCCGTGGCAAACTCCTCGGCAGTTGCTTGAGCAGCTCCGACCATGGCATCATAGTTATGACCGCTTGCTGAGGTTCTACACCGATGGCATTCCAGGAGGGTTTGCGTACGTGGTTTGGCAGGCCGGTATGAATGTTTTGGACGATGGGGACTTCGTGAAAGAGAAGATCGAGCCGCTCGCCCAGGATCTTGGCAAAGCTTTGCTCGGAGACATCAAATCTCATTTGCAGCAAGTGATTGGAAGGAAAACCTTGCGCATGCCAGAGAGTCCAGACTTCTGGCCGGAGTGCTTGGAGACGGCCACCGATCTCTGCAGGCTGGCGCTGCTCACGCGAGGACGTCTAGACGCCGCACCACATGATTACGAGTTCTACTGGGTTTTGCCGGGGGCCAAGTTGGTGCAGTATTGGTCACAGCATATCGGTGTCGGCACGACGGAAGAGGTGGTGATGTGCATCCTCCCAGGTATCAAATTCGTGGATAGAAATGGTGAGCTTTCCATGGCTGTAAAAGCACAGGTGGTCGGGAAATAGCCGGCATAAACTGCGACAGCGTAGCTTTGACTCTCTACTCCGGCAGATCGAGTTGGCTACGCTGTCGCAGTGCCGCAGACAGCCTTGACTCCCCACCACATCAGTGGGTTGAGTTGGCTAAGCATCTGGCACTGGGGAGAATGTAAATACATTGACAAATGATCACCCAGCTTCGATTCCTTGCTCCAGCAGGTCGAGTTGGCTGGGCGTTTTGTGTGTCATTGCTGCCCTTTCAGATCAGACGCGTCCTTGGAAGCGACACCGAAGTGATTGTCTTGAATCTCACGCCTCGTCCCTGTCTTTAGTGGATATAGCGTGCTGTCGCTCTGCCATTGCGGAAGCACTACGCATTTCGGTTCCATTTGCTGGCATTTCAGATTAGAAGCGTCCTGAGAAGCGTCACCGAAGTGATTGTCTTAAATCTCACATCTCGGCGGCTTTAACGTCTCATGGCGCATTCTCGCTCTGTCTCCATAGCAGCACCACGCCTTTCGGTTCCATTTGCTGGCATTTCGTATCGGACGCGTAGTTGGAAGCGATAATGCAATAGCCTTATTCCCTACATCCCATCCCTTTTTCAATCTCGCACATCGCATGATCGCTCTATCTCCATGGCAGCACCACGCCTGTCGGTTCTATTTGGTAGGCCGTTGGATCGGACGCGCAGTTGGAAGCGATACTAAGTTGATTACCTTATCCCTTCCATCTCATCCTGTTATCAATCTCGCATATCGCATAATCGCTCTATCTCCATGGCAGCACTACGCCTATCGGTTCTATTTGGTAGCCTGTTAGCGCAGGCGCGAAGGTAGAAGCAGTGCTTAGGTGAGTATCCTGTACTTTCCATCTTCTCCGGTTAAAAGCTTCACAAATCAAGCCCTCGCTCTGTCTCAATCGCGAAACCACGCAATCCGATTCTATTCGGTAGCCTGTTAGCGCCGGCGCGAAGGTAGAAGCAGTGCTTAGGTGAGTATCCTGTACTTTCCATCTTCTCCGGTTAAAAGCTTCACAAAGCAAACCCGCGCTCTGTTTTAATAGCGAAACCACGCACTTCAGCTCCGTTTGGTAGCCTGCTAGATCACACTCGTGTTGAGAGGCATTGGCAGGGAGGTGTCGCGTCGAGGAAGAGGTCGAAATGGAGTTGCAAGCTTCCTTCCCTCCCATTCCAGCTCGGCATCCGGGTCAACATTTCTCCGAAGGAGAGAAGGGAGAAATGGAACAGACAGGCGCAATCAACAGCATTATAAGACAGCTTGATCAATCAGATTGACCAGTTGCGAATTCTGGGTGACATATGGTCTGCAGTGTATTCTCTACTCATCTATCGTCCCGACTCATTCGGGTACAAGCTCCCCCATAGCCCTCCAAAAATCGCACCTCATCCCCCTTCCCCCTTCCCAAGTATAAGCATTAACAAGGCGGAAATCATTGAAAGTGCCTGGTCCACTACAAAAGTATACGCCCGGGATGTCCTCATACGGAGTTCTCCCGCTCCCACACGTCGTGTTCAGATCAATCTGAAAAGGTTCCGAAATCGTGTACGCCGGCCAATGACTAGCAGCATTCGTCGTAAAGTTTCCGGCAGCAGCAGTAAGATTTGCTAGAGAGGTGAGCTCGACTCCATTGGCGATTTCGTTGGAGATGGAAGGGTTTCCTGCGACGATGAAGTTGCCGAGTAGCTTCTGGAAAGCGTTGTTGAAGTCTGAGATGTAGTAGTATTCTCCTGGAGGTGGGAGGTAGGCGAGAGTGTCAAAGCCGTGTAGTGCTGGCGGGAGCGAGAATTGGTATTTGAATGCTTTGCCGCCTACCGCATTACCAGAGTATGCTTCAGCTAACCAGTAGGCTGGGCACACGAATGTGGTCTCTGCGTAGATGTTGTCGGCACGTTGCTGTTGGCCGGTGGCGACAGAGCTTTGATTTAGTGCTGTTGGCCCTCTGTCGCCGCTCGTTGCAAAAAGAGGTGCTTTGGGATCTGTCGAAACATTGGTGGTTGGATAGTAGTACAAGACCTTGGCGATGTCATTTTCATCGAAGAGAGGAAATGCCGTGTGAAGCCAAGCGACAAGATCATCCTCGGTGTGAATGATGGAAGGTGTGAAGAAGGTTCCTTCATTGGCATTGTTGCCGATCAAGGCGTTGACTCCATTCACTCTACTGCGTGCGAGCTGCCGACTTGGTAGGTCTTGAACCAGCGAGCCATCCGTGACGGGCAAGAAAGCCCAGGTCCCATAGGAGCCAGATTGAGAGATGGTGGCACTGGCATTAATTAGTGCTTCGGAGGATACGTCGAGCAGACATTCGAAAATTTGCTGAGTGCCGTTGGCCCCATACGGCTTCATGGTGTTGCAACCCACTGCAGATGCAAGAGCATAGTAAGACTGGGTCGGTACCCAATGGTTGTATCCGTACTGCATGGGCAGAAATGGACTCGCAGCGAAGGTCTGTCTGAAGAGCTGGGTTCCTTGCGAGCCGCCGTAAGCCATGCCTTGGAGCATGACAGATCCACCACCTGCAGATACGCCTCCAATAGTTACTTGAGTCGGATCACCGTTGAAAGCATGGATGTATTGCTGAACCCATTGGAGAGCGAGTTGCTGGTCTAGCAACCCGGCGTTGACAGCTCCTTTGCGGTAGACCTCATCTGAAGATAAAAAGCCGAATGCGCCCAGTCTATACTGAATAGTGACAGCCACGAAATTGTTACCATTCGTGTTGATCAACTCTGAAGGATCAGCAATACCACTGCCGCCACCGTAGCCTCCACCGTGAATCCAGACAAATACGGGCATTGGACTAGTCGCGTTGTTCGGAGTCCAGACATTCAAGAACAAGCAGTCTTCAGCAGCACCAGTCTGGTTCGTCGGCCTCATCGTGGCAGTTGCGGCCGAATTCTGGGGGCATATGGATGCATATTCTGAGGCATCCATGACTGCACTACGGTTGAGAACTGGAGCTCGTGGAGCCTGCCATCGCAGTTTGCCAGTTGGTGCTTCTGCGAATCGAATCCTGAACTTTCTTTAGTGACGCTTTTGGTAAATTACTATTTGACAAACCCTTTGTAGATGTTCAACCCTGAACTGCTATTTGATACGCCTCTGTAGATGGAATATCCGAGATCGATCTCGGTCGCAGAGGCATTGTTGCTCTGCCTGCCATACTCTTGTCTGGTCTGTAGAAAGTGATAATAGGGCCGTGAATCGTCTAGTGTAGGCTTCGCGGCCACGAAAGAAGCCTGTGTGAGGAGCGCGAAGAAAAGCATTGTGGGGCCGGATCGAGCCTGGAGAATATACTTGACCCGCCGTGTCAGTACATAGGCCGCTCTGACCTGCTATTAGTACTTCCATGTCATCGGCTGCCATTGCAAATCAGCCCGATCGCAAAGGAAGATCGTATGTGCAGTGGCGGACTGCATTACTCCTCAGACGGCTTACTGTCCTTTTCCGGAAGGTTGAGAATGCCAAGAACTAGAGAATCTTTACTGGGATTTTGCTGGTAGAACAGCAAATTCGTTCTCGTCTTGAGAAAGGTATGAGAAATCTGGATTATAACTATAAGATACTCAAGTGTTTTCAAACGAACCAGAAGGAGATCTTTACCCATGATCGAGTACGCATCCAATCCAGACAGTTTATATAGTGATCGACCAGCTAATCGGGAGGTAGAGCCGGCTGCTTACTGCTCTATAGCCGGGGATCGGATTGCCTCCACAACTTACAAGCGGTGAGTACCGCCGTATCTTTGACAGCGGAGGATCGTGCAGATTGTAGGCTGGCTTTGGCAGCGGAGGTCGTGCAGATCACGAAGCGAATCGAGCTGAGGGCCGATCTGTTCAGCTGGTGAGTCGAGCGGTGACAGCAGCGCAGAACAAGGTATACCCAGGCATACTATGCAGGAATAAGCCGAAAGATATGCAGGTGAGGTGAAGGTGAAAGGAAGAAAGGAGATGCCACATGAAGTGAGGTTTCTTGCGACCCTGCCCCTCGTCTGCCAAGCAGCGCTTCCCAGCAACAAGACAATGAAACTGACAACAACAACATACACATACCCGCACTCATGCGGTAACCAGACACATCCAGATCGACTTTGGCCATGGCGACGCCGTCACTCGACCAAGTGCCGCACCTGGTCAAAGTAACGGATCGCGACCAGGCCGAGTTTCTGAGGGAATCCGTGGCCGATCTGCTCGGACGTTCAATTAAAAGCTTCCCAGGCGCGCAGCCTGTGTCGTTTGCGCGGAAACATCTTCGAGAACTTGAAGAACGCGACTATTTCCTTGCCGAGAAGACGGACGGCATTCGTCTTCTACTGTACCTCACACAACTGCCCGATGGCCGCGAAGCACAGTACTTCATCGATCGCAAAAATGACTACTACCACGTCGAGCCAGGCTACCTTCACATCCCGATTCAGAACCCAGATCCACGCGCCCCGAAGCGCTATATCGTGGGCCAATTCAACAGGAATACCCTCCTCGACGGCGAGCTGGTTTCGCAGCACTTCAAAGACCGACCCTCGCGTTTGACCTACCTCATGTTTGACTGCCTCGCTTTCGAAGGCATCAGTGTCATGCATCTGAAATTTGACGACCGAATCGCGAAGATCCACAACAAGATTATACCTATGGTGGAAGACTTCCGCCGTGACTGGCCAGATGAGGCAGCCGTGCAGCCCTTTCAACTCAAGCTCAAGGCGCAGGAGTTGGCATATGGCATTCAGATCATGCTGAATGAAACAATACCGAAACTACCGCATGGGAATGATGGGTTGATCTTCACTTGCAAAGAGACCCCATACAAGCCTGGGACCGACGAACATATTCTGAAGTGGAAGCCGCCGCACGAGAATACTATCGATTTTGTGCTCCAGCTGGGATCATTTCCTATTCGCGAAGATGAGGACGGCCAGTACGAAGATTTCGATGCGATACCCGAGATTCAGTTACTCGTCAATCATGGTGGGGCCACTGGATACCGACAATTCGATCGCGACAGCGGCCAGCTGCACCTAACACCCACTGAGTGGGAAGCAATTAAGGGCATGGGCCAGCAGATCGATTGGCGGATTATCGAATGCTACAGGGAGAAAGAGACTGGACATTGGAGGCCAAAGATTGATGCCGATGGCACACCGCGATTCCGAGATGATAAAAAGGATGCTAACCACATTAGTGTTGTGGATAGCGTACTGGAGTCGATCGAGGACGCAGTCACGGAGCAAGAATTGACGACCCAGAGCAGGTATATGAGTATACGGAATGCGTGGAAAGAAAGGGCCAAGATTAGGGAGCAGCAGCAGCGTCAGCAGGAACAGCAGAAGCGGCAGCAGGCTGAGATGGAACAGAAGAGGAGACAACAAGAGGCCGCCAGACAGCAGGCTGAGGCTGAAGCGGATGATGGACCAGGATATGAGGATGATGATTAGCCAACGATGAATGGAGGCATGATTTGGATAACAGTGATACCCAGCGCTGACGTACGCGCGCGCTTTCTCCACAGGCAGTATAGAGTGTATGCGAGCCAGTTCTTACCAGCTTCATCGTGCCCAAGCTAGCAGTCCTGTCATCGTTTCGAATGCTTGTTGTCCGCAAGTGCTACTGGCCCATACTATACATCTATATCTACAGATCCCAATTCCCGGATGATTTGCCCTCAATCGAGCAGGACGATCATGAGGGCATATTCTCCAGCGCCGGAGGCTGTTCCGCCCTCTCAGCCTTCCGCGCCGCCTTCATCAACTCACTCTTCCTCTCCAAAACCAGTTCCCCAACCTTCCCAGGATCCCCAAATTTCACCTTCCCCTCCGTCAAAGCCTCATCACCCACCCGTCCCAACCTCTCCAACTCCCGATAAACATACGCCGTCACGCGCGCCAAATCCCGAAAATCCACATTCGGATCCGCTTTGAAAACATTCCTCCACACCGCCGTCGCCATGACCGCATCCCCTTTAATCAATCCCTCATCATACGCCAATTGCACACCCCTCCACTGCGTCCACAAATCCTTCAAATTCTTATTCCGAACCCCTCGTGCTGCCATGCCGTGCCACGTCGCCATACGATCTTCTGCCGCGTAGAAGAAATGATCGATGAGGTTTTGATGCCAGTCTTTTACGTATTTTTCGGGGAAACACCGCAGGCGTACGGTGAGGAGCCACATGTGGAGGTAGAGGACTTGGGCCCAGGAATTGAAGGTTACTTCTAGTCCCAATCCGCCTTTGGATTTGGGAGTGAGCCACCAGCCGGAACCTTCGCCGAGGTGGTCGCCGGCGGCGTTTTGAGGTGGTTTGCCTGGGGGTGTTTCTAGGGCTGAGGGGATGGTGTAGGAGCATTGGCGGGAGCATTCGAGGAAGAGGTCTTCGGTGCTGCCGTAGGCGATGTAGGGTTCTGTTGTGCTTCGTAAGGCAGAGGTTTTGCGGAGTGATGCGGCGATGTTCGTCATAGGGTTTTTGTCTTGGAGGCGATCGTAGTCTTTGGGTGTTGGAGGGCGACGATTTGGTTCATCTGGATTTCGTTCTGGTTGGGAGGAGATGGTGCGATGTTGTGATGCTCTTGATGTGAGTGTCTTTGCGATATTGCGTTGAAGAAGGCGAGGCTGCTGCTGTCGCATTGCCAGTAGGCATGATGTGCACACTGTTTTGGCTGACATCGTTGTTAAGTTGCAAGTTTCAACGCTGATGGAGTTGTTCAAGAAACATCTCAATCGCAAATCTATGATCGCATTACCCTGGTCAACTTCGCGGGAATGGCCACTGCAGCTCCGCATTAGACGGCCCGCTTCAAATATTGATTGTCAGCTTCTTCCAGACCTTCACCCCCCACAAAAGCCAGAGCCTTGGGGCAACGATTCAGCCTACTATCCTGGAGCTCCACGCAAACGGAGAAGCAAGCCAAGATTATTGTGTACTCAGCACATATCGTGAGTGCTGTGTCTTCCGGCTTCCAACTTAGCCCAGTTCTCGATGGCTGGACATAGTGCCGATTTGCCACAAGGCACTAACCTGCTTGCCTATCTCCAAGCTCTTACGCTGCAATGGCCGGCACCCCTGCTTGCACCGCGGGCAATGACAGCGAACTACACAACGCCATGTAGCTCGCTGGAAATCGATAGGCGAAAATACGAATACTTGAAGGCCATTGCTCACGTTCTCCGCCTCGACTGATTTCAATCTCTGCTCAAGCGTATGACTACATCATAATGCCTCACAGACTCTCCGACCCCGTAGCAATTGACACGTCGAAGCAGTATGGCGACTTCCGTGACCAGCTGTTCAAAGACGGCTACGCCGTAGTCAGGAATGCTGTCCCCGAAGAGAAATGCAAAGAATATATCGAGCGCATGACTCAATGGCTCGTAAGTTCTTCCACCAAATTCACTGACATCTGGCCGACTAAACTCTTCTCTACCATACGTAGGAAAAATTCCCTCTCGGCTTCGACCGCAATGATCCCAAAACATGGAACCCCCAACACCTCCCAGCTCATATGAAAGGAGGAATGTATCACGGCTACGCAGTTGGGCACGAGAAGTTCGTCTGGGACGCACGTATTGAGCCCGGTGTTTTAGCTGCCTTTGAGACGATCTGGGGTACTAACGAGCTGCTCGCCTCCTTCGATGGTATCAACTACACACTGCCTTTGCCAGAAGGCGATCGTAAGCCGTCCACACCTTGGCCACATGTCGACCAATCTCCACACCTGCTCGGACTGCAATGCATTCAAGGGATCATCAACTTTGCTCCCAACGGTCCCAATGATGGTGGACTTGTCGTCTTGAAAGGCTCTCAGGCACTGTGTGAACAGTACTTCAAATGCCACAGCAAAGACAAAAAGGAGAAATGGGGCCTGGTCCCAGATGACTGGCATGGCTTTGACCCAGAAGAGGTCCAATGGTTCAAAGACCGAGGTGCTGAAGAAGTTAAAGTCTGCGCCGCTCCAGGAGATCTTATCGTCTGGGACAGCAGGACTGTGCACTGGAATGTGCTCCCTCAGAGTGACCAAACCAGATCGGTCGTGTGTAAGTTTCATCTCTGCCCCTGCGAGGAGGCAAGATCTGACAGTTTTACTTCTTCTCAGACGCATGCTACACTCCAGCGGCCTTTGCTACTCCAGAGGAGCTCAAGCAAAAGGCCGAGATCTTTCACAACCGGACAAGAACCACTCACTGGCCACATCGTAACTTCTGGCACCAAGACAGGATCTTGCGGTTTGGTAAAGAGGATCCATATCATCGCGACAGGCCATTCGAAGAACCTGAGGAGACCGAACAGCTGTTGAAATTAGCTGGAGCCATGCCCTACTAGCAGAGGAAGCTGGCATGATGCTTGCGACTCATCTTTATCTGGAAAAAGTCGGCCTAAAGACGATTATTCCAGCGAAGCGGGAGGCCAAAAAACAGGCACCTGGAGCAACCGAGGAGCTTGCGACGAGTGTTGTAGAAGGTGTCTGTTTTGGCCTTACGCGAGCGCGAAATAACAATCAGACTCGTACTTAGAAGGAGCATATAGCACCTGCTTACAGGTGCGTGTCGCGACGGTTTAATTGGCAAAAAGGCTCCCTATACAAATCTCAGCGCGCGATCTGATTAGTAGAAATCAAAAAGAAAGGTTACGTACCGCTCTAACTTTACTACAACTATAATAGCAGCACTACTACTATCCCTATACGTCTCGTATACGTATACGCATACGTATACACGGAAGGTCGTCGAAAGTACGCCGAAAGCACGTACCGAAAGCACGTACCGAAAGCACGTACCGAAAGCACGTACCGAATACACGTGCCGAAGAGAAGATTACACTAAGAAGAGATAGTCAAAAAGAAGATCCTACAATGCGCTAACAGCATAATACGCCAATAGCACTAACAGTATAATACGCTAATAGTATAATGCGCTAATAGCACAATACGCTAATAGTATAATACGATAAAAAAAATAGCAATATACTATCCCTACCTGCCTATTCCGTATACTATAACCTATAGCGACCTTCTATAGCAAAACAAACTACTATCTATAGCGACCTTTTATAGTAAAAGCGCAATATAGGAAGAGCAAGGATATACAATAAAGGATATAGAGCAATACTTAAATGCTGAAACTAATATTCATGTAAGGACTATCTAGCTACAGAGGCGAGAAGTCCTGAAGACAGCAGATTGCAGCCTCAGGCATTATGCACGTAATAGACCCTAAGACCCTGAAAGCCCTAAAAGGTAGGTATATACTACCTACTTCAAGTTACCCCCTTATCGCGTGCATATAGCCAAACAAACAAACAAACAAAGGGGTACTAAACAATGTAGTTAAACGAGGCTATTTCTATCTCAATTAATACTTAGTAGTAGGCTAAGCGGCGCTCTCAATAGCGGCCTTATAATCGACTAGGTTTAACTGTTTAACGAAACGAGCATGTTTAAGCTTATTAAGCGGCTTAGTGAAGCTATTAGCAATCTGATTATAAGTGCTAATCTAGGTAACGGTAACAGTGCCGTCGGTGATCTTGTTACAGATATAGTGCACTCGAGCATCTATATACTTAGTGCGGCTATTAACGCTTATCGACTAAGTAATAGCGATAGCGGACTAATTGTCCTTATATAGTGTAATAGGCTTAATAGTGCCCTTGTAACTAATCTCACGACAGAGTAACCAAGGTCTAGCGGCCTAACTTGTATAGTAGTAGTCTACTAGCGAGTGTGAAGTAGAAGCCGCCTATCGAGCGGCGAGTAACTAGATCGTTAGCCTATAAGGCGTTATAGTATCTAGCAAGATTGAGCTTATCCTTGTTGCTTATGCCCTCGAAGCGCATACCGCGACTGAGCGTACTAACAAGATATTCAATAAGCTATAGAAGGGTATAATAGTGCTCTTTAGTCGGGTTAGCAATAAAGCGAGATAGTAGGCTAGTCGTGTAGCAGGCGTCCGGTCGAGTAATTATAGCAGGCTATAGGGCCTCGCTAATACCCTCTTAATACTTGGTCTTGAAAGCAGCGCTAGCTTTATAGCCTTTAGGTACGCGTTGAATAGCTGACTTAATATAGCGAGGAGCTATTAGAGTAGTCGGGGCTATACGGCCTTGCATGCTATACTTCTTAGCTAGGCGGTTCAAATAGGCGTCCTATACTATATAGATAGTGCGGTCTTAGCGATTGCGAATAATGCGTATACCGAGATAGTAGTAAAGGTCGCTAAGTTCTCGCATACTAAAACGGTCCTTTAGCAACTAAGCGACTGCCTGCAGGGTAGCTAAGGAGTGTGCGATAATAATCATATTATCTACGTAGATAATAATAATGGAGTTGCTAACGGTGTGTTTAAACACGCATACGTCGCTTAGTATAGGGATGAAGTTTAGACTCTTCAAGTACTTCCGAAGCTCTTTATACTACAGTATAGGCGATTGCTTAAGGCTATAAAGGGCCTTTAGCAATAGGCAAACTATGCCCTTGCCACTACGGTCTTCAAAGCCGTATAGCTGCTTAATGTAGATCTTGTGCTTATCGCTAATTATAGCGTTTAAGAACGCAGTAAGGATATCAAACTGCTAAGCCTCTAGGTCGTAGTAAGCAATCATAGCAAACAGGGCACGAAGTGTACTTAGTTTGGCGATAGCAGTATAGGTCTCATTATAGTCCTCGCCTTTAACCTAAGTGAAGCCCTTAACAACCTAACGGGCCTTAAATCGACTAAACGTACTATTAGCATCTCGCTTAATAGTGAACACCTATCTGCTACGGACGACCTTGCGGCTAGCAGGCACCTCCTGCTTAGCAACGTAGACCTAGGTAGCGTTGTCTATAAGCGACTTATACTTAGTCTTATAGGCCTCCTTCCATTATAGCTAATATAGCGACTCCTTAGCGGCCTTAAAGCTCTTTAGAATTGGAATGTTATTATTCGGGGTGTTGCCTTGTTCTACAATATAGCAGGCGGCTATAAAGCCCTTTATATAGGCTATTGGTATGTTAGCAAGGTTGCGGCGCTCTTTACGACTAGCACCGGTGTCGGCTAAATAGCTACGTAACAGGTCTCGAGTCGACTTATTGCTGCGAGTTAAGCGTATAGCACGCGGACCTATAGTATTAGGGCGTTCAAACTTAGGCAACTAGCCTAGTTCGCCCTTCTTGGCATTAGGGTTATATAGTAGCTGTTCGTTAGCTAAATAGAGGTCCTCTTTATTAGCGGCCGGCGGTTAAATATTAGGCATATCGTCCTTATTCGGTAGTAGGTTGACAACCTTATCTACTAAAGGAGCGGTAGCCTGCTCTGTAGGTTCTTCTTATTAAGGCGGAAGTTGCTGGACTACACTAGCAGCTTTAGTTGCCTTCGGAGCCTTATTCGTCGTCGTATTGAACAAGGTAGGCATAACTAACTTAATAGTTATAAACTCGCTCTTAGACGGGTCGTTAGAATTGGTATATAGTTTAACACCCTATAGCAATTGAAGGTCGCTATCTGACTTAATAAATTGGACATCCTTCGAGGCAATAACCTTATACTTATTAGGCAAATAGATTATATATTTGCCGGAGTCTACTAAGTCCTTAGCATAGCCAACTAGCTTACTAAGCTTGCCTCGAGGGTCAAACTTCTTACTACGAGCTACACTATAGTCGTAGATAATAGTCGTATAGCTATAGGCACGCAAGTACTAAATGCGTAGCTGCGTACGTAACTAGCCGAGCTCCTTAGCTACTACTATATAGGGGCTATCTCTATCGAGTGCCTAGCTTAGTGTAATATTAAGTACCTATATAGCGGCAGTAACAGCCTGCGGCTATAGAGCCTTTAGAAGGTTAGCCTATAACATCATCTTCCGAGCGGTCGTGCATACGATATAGTTGCTAACTTTAGCAAGGCTATTCTGCGTAGAAGAATAGGGAGCCGTAACCTGTAGTATAATGCTATTATCGCGGGCCTAGGATAGGAGTTAATTGCTACTATATTCACCCCCTCTATCGAGGCGGTAAATAGGAATTGAGTAGCCGGTTTAAGTGCGAATGTAAACCCGATAGTCCTTAATTGCTACTGTAGCGCCTGTCTTTAGGCTGCTAGTATATTCGTAGCGATATGCTAACTTAGCGCACGTAAAGAGCGTAAAGTAACGCTCCTTACAAAGGCTAGGGTTAGTGATACAGACTACGTCAATATAGATAATATAGTAGATCGTAGATAGCCGTATTCGTAGTAGCCGGCTGTATTCCTTATAGGCTATAGCTAAGCGGCAGGCAATGCAGTTATAGAAGGTCTGCTTCTTGTCGCTAGTGATAATAATGTAGCCTTCAGCCTCTAGGCGTAGAAGCTTAGTATAGTGAATATGGCTAAGCCGTAGGTGCTATTCGTTTATAGTGCCTATTGGCACCCCCTTCTTCGACAGAAGCGCAACAACCTAGCTATTAGGACTAGACGTCGGGGTGTGTAGGAACGGAAGGCTATCCTTACGGTAAGTTTAAGCGACAGTGACCTTATTGCCCTTAGCATCGTATATAAACAAGACTCGCTTATCGTTATAGTAGAAGCAGCCCTTGTCGGCAAGCTTCTTAGTAGACAGAAGGTTAGCTGCCAGACCTAGAACATACAGTGTATTAGATAGCTTTATGTTGCTTATACTACGCTTATTGATAACCTTAGTCTAAGCTATACTAACTATCGTAGCGTACTTTGTGTTGCTACTAAACCGGACAGGGACGTAACAGCCTTCGTATTCAATAAGCAATGAAGGGTTATTAACTATATGTATGCTAGTACCTAAGTCGACAACCCAATCCGTAGTACGAGTGCCAGCCGTAAGAGCCGTAGAAACTAGGTCGCTTACAGTAACCGTAGCTGTAAAGGCGTAATTGTAGCTTAGGTCTAATAACACCCCCGGGGTAGCATTAGCCGTATACAGCCCCTAAGCACTATTCTAACTAGATAGCGGTTGCTGCTGTTGCTAAGCAGTTAGTCTACGCTACTGCTATTACTGCTACTGTTGCTATATCCCCTTCTTTTTAGCCTTCTCGCGCTCTCGGCGGAGTCGGTCTTCTTCCTTCAAATAAGGGTACTTAGTATAGCAGCGATTAGATAGGTAAGTGCCCTCGTAATAGGCGCACTTCGGACGGGGCTAACCATTCTAGTTGTTTCTACCGCGGCCTCGACTAGCAGAATTGCCGCGGCCTCTACGGTTGTTGCCTCGATTATTGCCTCGAGGCGCGTTGTTGTTGTTGCTAGCAGGTACTAGTTGCTATTGGCTATAGTATCTATTGTACTAGGCCTAATTGACTTAAGCAACGTTCTTATTAAGCAACGCGCTAATAATGTTGTCTAGTGTATTACTGTCAACTGCGAAGTTAGTAGCACGCATATGCTCTCGCCGCATCTAAGCGAATGCCTTATAGAATAGGCTAATTAGTATAATAAAGAAGTAGACAGCCTGATAGTCGCTAATAGCCAACTTAGTAGTACTTAGCGTACCCAACTTCTTCTTATAGTTATTGCAGAACTTCTCGAGGTCCTTTCCCTCGTACCGGAGGGTGATATATTCCTAGAATTGCATGAATTTAGTAGACCCACCGTTACTAGTATATTTCTTTTTAAGAAAGTCCTACACCTCCTTCGAAGTAGACAGACTAAGTAGCG